TTCCTTTATTTTAAATAGTTTATTATTTAAAATTAAAAATTAAAAATAAAATAAAAATAAAAAAATTGAAAAATTTAAAAAATAAAATTTTATTTTTTAGTTTTCGGTTTTAGTTTTCACAAACAAAATAATTGTATATTTATTTGATTATTAGAATTATTTATATTTATTATTTATCTATAACTAAAGTAGCTCCATCTACATTACATAATGAACAAATATCATTACTCCCCAGTCTCAGCAAGTTTTCCGAATCACACACGAATTGACGTTACCGTGCCCAACTTGTATGCAGTGTGGTAAAACTCATATAAGCATTAAACACATACCAAACACAATAAACTGATGACTTAATATATCATTAAGAATCATCTTCACTTTTAAAAAAAAAAAAAAAAAAAAAAAAGATCATTACTCAATAATTTACTATTTTAATCATTTGCTTTTTATTATCCCAAAATGATGACTTAATACATCAGGGTACAGCTTTTAAAGCATTTGCTTTTAATTATCTTCACTTTTTAAAAAAAAAAAAAAGGGTAGAGTTTTTAAAAGTTATTCAGGAATATCCTTAACATTAAAGATCCAAAATCAAGAAATACCCTATTCAAAATTCAAGCAAGATGTCTACCCATCAATTTCATTCACCAAAAACCATGTAGACTATGTAATGAAAATGTTCATAATGACCTATACAGTCACCTGTTTTTCAAATGTAAAAATACCTTGAAATTCATCAACTTCAAGAAACTAAAATCATTCATATTCGTCACTTCAGTAAGAAACCTCAATTGCTCACTGGACATAACAAGATCAAGTAGGGGTATATCAATTAAAAATATAACATGCATAATAAAATACTATCTCTTAAATTTCTAATAATATAAATTAAATCATTTAGAAAGATTTTTTAAAAAAAAAAAAAATAACTGATTGTTTTAAAGATTTAAAAGTCATTTTTTTATTTTTTTTTGTTCATATAAATTCAATTAATTATTAAACAAAATTTAAATAACATTTTTTTTTGGATTTTGCTTAATTGTCAGATATTTTTTTAAGGGAAGCTATGATTCTAATTAGAATCCCAAGATTTTGTTTTGAAAATTTTTAAATTTATTTAAGTTACCTATTTCAGTATTATAACACGATATTATAGGTTCTTTAAAACTGAAAAGTGAAGATATATTTTAATCAAATATTAGAATTTATTTATATAAATATATAGATATCACAATTAAGTTCAAATTTTATTGCAAAAATTTTTTTTTTAAAAAAAAAAAATTTCACCCCTAAATACACCCACACACACTTTTTTTCACACTAAAAACACTTTTTTTTTTTATAAATTTATATTATCAATATTTTAATTTGGATATAAAAATTGTTATTTTTTATTGGGTTTGATTATTTGGGAACTGATTAAAAATAAAACAAATTTGTTTTTATTTATTTTATTTATTTTTTTTATTTGTTTTTTATTTTTTTTTTTTTTACTTGTTTTTTTTTTTATTTTTTTTTAATTGTTTTTTAATTTGTTGTTTTTATTAAAGATACAATATTAAACAATTTTACTATTGAATAGTTTTAAAAAAATATGTTTAAAGAAAAAAATAAAATAGTAATTTTGGTGTTTTTGGTTAATTTGTCAATTTGTTTTGGTTTTCGTAAGTTTTAGATTCTTTGAATCATATTATATTTTTTTTAAATATTAAAATTGTAATTTTAAATTAAAATTTTTAGATATAAAATCTACATATAGAAAAGTAGTTGTTGACTTTACTGGATTATATGACAGTGTTCCAATTAATGTAACCATTTATAAAGATCCACATCTTAAAATTCCATATTTAACTTTTAATTATACTTGGTCTAAATTCTCCGATCCCGATTATCATAATTATGTTTTTGATAGAGTTACTTTAGAAGCAACGATGGATAGTAAAATGTACTATGGGTCCGTAGCATGTGCTTGTGTACTTGATGGTGAAACAAATAAAACCGAGTGTGGGTATAGAGATTACGAAATAGATAAAAGTTTGTTTCTTCCATACAATGTAACCTTTTTAAATAAACCTCCAACAAAGGGTGGTGTTGTAAATGTAACTGGAGAGTTCATGAGATTGGCATCTAATGATTTGAAATTGGCTTTTTTAAAATCAGATGATTTTTATCAAAATATAACTGTTGCCGGTGAATATGATGACCCAAACTATAATCCAAACTTTCTATCAATTAATATTCCACGTGGTTATGGTGAATTTAAATTTTGTTTAGATTACTTTCAAACATTTTGCTATGACTGGTCATTTCAAAGTCCATCAATCTCATCAGTATATTATAATACCACAAATCATCATCTAACAATTAAAGGAAATGGTTTTTATAATACCACAAAAGGACTTAGAGGGAATACCATAGTATTTGTATATATTAATGGTTCACTTTTAAATGAAAGTGATATCACATCAATCGGTTATGAAGAAATGGTATTAATCTATTCCTCAATATATACTCAAGAATTAAATATTTCAATTTCTATTTATTCACTTTATACAAATAAAACAATACAAATACCACCATACCCAGCCTCATATTCCACAAATTCCACAAAGTATAATGAAGGTATTGTTGAAATTACAGGTACTCAACTTTTATCTCAAAAAGACCAAAACGATCTTAAAATCACAATTTTTGGCAAATTATGTGACATCATTCCTCCTAGCAATTTAACCTATATCAAATGTATATTACCAAAAGGAGTTGATAATAATCAAAATACAATTAAAGTGTGTGTAAACAATATATGCAGTATAAATAACCTAATTTATGAATATGCAAAACCCATTATTTCAAGTGTCACACAAAATGGTTCCATCTTTACAATAAAAGGTAAATACCATGGTAGTTATAATGATAATTCTACACAAGTTATTGTAACATATGATAGTAATATAAAACAAATAATATTACCATTATCCATACAAACTGATGAAACTGAATCAGTATTCAAGATTCCATTCTTTTGTGGAAGTGCAATTGTTCAATTAGTTGTAAATGGTTTAAAATCAAATGAATATACTATTAATGCAAATACAAATTTTGAAATTATATCGCCACCATCTACAGATTCTAAAACGCCATTAATAGTTTTACTTTCATATTATGATTGTAAATATTATAAAAGCAATTCTTTCAATCCATTATTCAAAATTCAAAATTCAAAATCAATCGGAACTAAAGTAAACAACACATACTCTTTTAAAGTTATACCTGGTACTGGTACAAAACAAGCAACTATAACATTTGCAAACAAAGATGTTACAATAGAGTACTCATATGCAAAACCTAACGTTTTAAAGCATAATGTCGAATATAATGATCCAATAAATACTGTTATACTTTATGGTGTTAATTTTGGTACAAATTCATCATTGTGCACTATTACATATAATGGTATAGAAAAAGAGTGTCAAGTAATAGACCATTACCAAATTAGATTCAAAGTAGAATCAATTGAAATATCTTCAAACATATCGATTACAATTGATGGTATTATATCAGATAGTTATATAATGGAGCTTGTTAAATGTAAACTTATTAATGAACAATTGTATCCTACATCATTTGGTTGTTTAGAATCAGAACCAGTTGTTAATTACTATTGTGATGGTTTAAAAACATATTCATCTAAAACTGATCCAAACAAGTTATTAAGTGCAACTTTTGACGATGAAGCTACTATGATTGATTTCCAAGGCAATAACATATCAGTTCATATTAAAGAAGGTATATCATCATCCACATTAAACCTCTTTTTAAATGGTTTCTTTTCAAAATCAAATAAAATTAAAAGAAAAGAAGGTATTGTTTACAACTCTAAAATACAATATGATGAACAACAAAGTTTAATTAATCTTGATATAACTGGATTTAACTTTGGAGAACCATACGATATTGGTTTGCCTACAATTTATAATACAACTTTTGCAACTAAAAACTGTTCAATGTTATACCATGGTACAAAGTATAACAAAAACTGTACAATCGATATAGTTACATGTCAATTAACTCTACCATATAACTTTAACAAAGATCTTATATTAGAAGATAAAGAAAGTAGTAATACAACTCTTACGATTCCATTTACACTTAAATTAGGTAATAATACAATCTATTCGTCATTTAATAATATTGAACATATACCATCCAAAGATAATAATAAAAAAAGGAAAACTATTGCATTGGCAACTACATTATCAATAGGATTAACTTTACTTTTTGCTGGTAGTGTATATTTTGTTTGGAGACACCATCAAAACAAAATTGAAAATACAAAAAAAGAAAAAAATTAAAAAATAATATAATAATCTCCATTAAAAAAATAGAAATAAGAAATAATTTCAAAAAAAATAAATAAATAAATTATGTTATTAAATAATAATTTATTTTATTTATTAATATAAATAATATGATTTCTGTATTAAATGTTCTTTTAAACTTCAAAGTGAAGATATATTTTTAATTAAAATAGGAATATAAACACACATAAATATATATATCACAGTTAAGTTCAAATTTTATTGCAAAAATTAAATTTATAAAACTTAACCCTAAATACACCCACTCACATTTTTTTTTCACACTAAAAACATTTTTTTTATATGTAAAAATATTATTATTAATATATATACATATAAATATATAGATATCTCAGTTAAGTTAAAATTTTATTGCAAAAATTATATTTATAAAAATTAACCCACACTAAAAACACTTTTTTATATGTAAAATTATAATTATTAATATTTTTATTAGTATATAGAAATTGTTATTTTTCTATTGAGCTTCATTATTTGGGAACTGATTTAAAATAAAACAAATTGTAATTATTTTTTTATATGTTTTTTTTTTACTTGTTTTTTTATTTGTTTTTTTTTATTTTTTTTTAATTTAAGATTTAATATTAATCAATTTTACTATTGGATAGTTTTTAAAAAAATATGTTTAAAGAAAAAAAAAAAATAGTTGGTTTTCTTTTTTTGATTCATATTTCAATTTGCTTTGGTTATCGTAAGTTTTAGATTCTGATAAATATAATTTTATTTTTTTAAATATTAAAAAATATAATTTAATTTTAAAAATTTTAGATGTTGAATCTACATATGGAAAAATAATTGTTGACTTTACTGGATTATATGAACGTGTTCCACTTAATGTAACCATTTATAAGGATCCATATTTTAAAATTCCATATTTAAATCTAAATTTTAATTTGTCTAAATTCCCCAATCCCAAGTATCATAATTATATTTTTGACAGAATTACCTATGAAGCAACAATGGATAGTAAAAAATACTATGGGTCAGCAGTAGATGCTTGTGTAATTGATCTTAAAACAAATAAAACCGAATGTGGCTATAAATCAAAGACAATTAATAATTGTTTGTTTGAACCATACAATGTAACGTTTTTAAATAAACCTCCAACAAAGGGAGGTGTTATAAATGTAACTGGAGAATTCATGAGATTCGGAGTTGGTGATACGAAAGTGGCTTTTTTAAAATCATGGGATTTTTATCAAAATGTAAATGTTGCCGGTGAATATGATGACCCAAACTATAATCCAAACTTTCTATCAATTACTTTTCCACGTGGTTATGGTGAATTTAAAATATGTTTAGATGCCCATCAACTAATGTGCTATGACTTGTCATTTCAAAGTCCATCGATCTCATCAGTATATTATAATACTACAAATCATCATCTAACAATTAAAGGTGATAATTTTTATAATTCCATATATGGACAAAGAGAGATTACCATAGTATTTGTATATATTAATGGTTCACTTTTAAATGAAAGTGATATCATATCAATCGGTTATGAAGAAATGGTATTAAACTATTCATCAATATACACTCAAGAATTAAATATTTCAATTAATATAGATACACTTTATACAAATAATACAATACAAATACCACCACACCCATCCTCATATTCCACAAATGCGTACAAAGTATAATGAAGGTATTGTTGAAATTATTGGTACACAACTTTTATCAATAAAAGACCAGAACGATCTTAAAATTACAATTTTTGGCAAATTATGTGACATCATTCCTCCTAGCAACTTAACCTATATTAAATGTAGATTACCTAAAGGAGTTGATAATAATCAAAATACAATTAAAGTGTGTGTAAACAATATATGCAGTACAAATGACCTTATTTATGATTATGTAAAACCCATTATTTCCAGTGTCACACAAAATGGTTCCATCTTTACAATACAAGGTAAATACCATGGTAGTTATAATGATAATTCTACACAAGTTATTGTAACATATGATAGTAATATAAAACAAATAATATTACCATTATCCATACAAACTGATGAAACTGAATCAGTATTCAAGATTCCATTCTTTTGTGGAAGTGCAATTGTTCAATTAGTTGTAAATGGTTTAAAATCAAATGAATATACTATTAATGCAAATACAAATTTTGAAATTATATCGCCACCATCTACAGATTCTAAAACGCCATTAATAGTTTTACTTTCATATTATGATTGTAAATATTATAAAAGCAATTCTTTCAATCCATTATTCAAAATTCAAAATTCAAAATCAATTGGAGTTAAAGTAAACAATACATATTCTTTTAATGTTATACCTGGTACTGGTACAAAACAAGCAACTATAACATTTGCAAACAAAGATGTTACAATAGAGTACTCATATGCAAAACCCAATGTTTTAAAGCATAATGTCGAATATAATGATCCAATAAATACTGTTATACTTTATGGTGTTAATTTTGGTACAAACTCATCATTGTGCAATATTACATATAATGGTATAGAAAAAGAGTGTCAAGTAATAGACCATTACCAAATTAAATTTAAAGTAGAATCAATTGAAATATCTTCAAACATATCGATTACAATTGATGGTATTATATCAGATAGTTATATAATGGAGCTTGTTAAATGTAAACTTATTAATGAACAATTGTATCCTACATCATTTGGTTGTTTAGAATCAGAACCAGTTGTTAATTACTATTGTGATGGTTTAAAAACATATTCATCTAAAACTGATCCAAACAAGTTATTAAGTGCAACTTTTGACGATGAAGCTACTATGATTGATTTCCAAGACAATAACATATCAGTTCATATTAAAGAAGGTATATCATCATCCACATTAAAACTCTTTTTAAATGGTTTCTTTTCAAAATCAAATAAAATTAATAGAAAAGAAGGTATTGTTTACAACTCTAAAATACAATATGATGAACAACAAATTTTAATTAATATTGATATAACTGGATTTAACTTTGGAGAACCATACGATATTGGTTTGCCTACAGTTTTTAATACAACTTTTGCAACTAAAAACTGTTCAATGTTATATCATGGCACAAAGTATAACAAAAACTGTACAATCGATATAATAACATGTCAACTAACTCTACCACATAACTTTAACAAAGATCTTATATTAGAAGATAAAGAAAGTAGTAATACAACTCTTACGATTCCATTTACACTTAAATTAGGTAATAATACAATCTATTCGTCATTTAATAATATTGAACATATACCAACCAAAGATAATAAGAAAAAAACAAAAACTATTGCATTAGCAACTACATTATCAATTGGATTAACTTTACTTTTTGCTGGCAGTGTATATGGTGTTTGGAGACACCATCAAAACAAAATTGAAAACACAAAAAAAGAAAAAAATTAAAAATAATAAAAAATAGAAATAAGAAATAATCAAAAAAAAAAATAGTAAAATAAAATTTTTTTAGAATAAAAAATAATAATAATAATTAAATAATATTATTTTTTATTAATATTATTTATTATTATTTATTTATTTTATTTATATGTTAGAGATTTCTCTATTATAACACGATTTTATAGTTTCTTTAAAACTGCAAGGTGAGGATATATTTTCAAATAAGAGTATATACATATAAATAGATATCACTTTTTAGTTGAAATTTTATTGCAAAAATTATATAAAAAAAATTTCTTGCTCGTATAATTTAGTGTTGTTGTAATCCAAATTTATTTAATTAATATAACCTTCTTGATCTTGTTATTTCAAGTGACTAATTGAGGTTTCTTCCTGAAGTGATGAATATGAATGATTTTAATTTATTAAAGTTGATGAATTTCAGAGTTTTTTTTACATTTGAAAAACAGGTGACCGAAATTAATCTGTAAATTTTATGATTTATTTGTTTTTTTTACAAGTTTTCTTGTTGTCATATTTTTAGATTGTGCCTTTGATCTGGTTGGATTTTTGGGGGTAGTTGGATTATAATCATCTGATGATTCATATGAATCAATAGTATTTTCATTTTCGATTTCTATAAATGATTCTGTTATACTTTCTTCAATCTCTCTTCATTTGAATAAACTTCATCAAACCATGAGATGACATTTGAAAATTTTGTTTCGATTGATGTATTTTCGCTATATTCTTCAATTGGTATTGGGAATTTTATTTCTTTTAACAAAAATAAATTCATTTGTTCAAATTGAACTGAAGATAACTTTACCAATTTGTTTGTTGTTGTCTGTGAAGAACTTTACTTTTTCTTCGGGGGTTTTTCCAAAAGCAATTGTTGGACAATATATGAAGTGAAAGGATAGTATGAAAAAATATTTTTATTTTATTTAAATTGTTTAAAAAGATATTATCTGTAGATAATTCTTGACTTGATAGTCAGCTTTTATACTGTGGAAATAGAAACTTTGTTGTTTACCCCATTAGTACACTTGTTTGTGTAGTATTTTTGTCCCTATTGGAGTAATCTTCACGAATTTTATCAGCTTCAACTTTGTTATCAGCTTTCTTATCACCTTTATGGTTCAATGATGGTTTACCCCTTTGTTATTTGAGCCATGACCATTTTGAACAGATGATTTCCTTTTGAAACGATTTTCGTTATTTTGGAATATTTCCAATGTTTTGTTTTTAAGTTCGGCAATTGTATTGGACTGATCATTTAAATCTGAATCTGAATAGATTGGAATATATGATGGTATATGAACTGTTTTTGATTCTTCTGAAGTTGAACTTTATTTTTCTGAATATTTACTATATACTTGTTTAAGTTTTGAATAATATTTATTGCCAATTTGATTTGGTCTAATAAAGTTCGTATATTAGTATAATTGTTGTCAGATATATAGAATAATTATGTATTATATATATATAATAATATTTATAAAATCTAATTACCTTTTTCTATAATAATTTCAAAATTGGTTTGGTTAGATGATGTAACCCTTTGCGTACACCAAGATGATTATTTAAAAGAACCGGAAAGTTTATACTAACTTGTGGTAATGTTAGACAATTCTATAATTATCATTAACTTAAAAGCAGAGTCTCTAATGACGGATCTATTTCTATGACTAACATAAAATTTGAGGGTATTGTATTTGTGGTACTATGGGTGGGGAAATTGATGGATATAGGCTCTTGCTGGTGAAATTGGTAAGGAGGACAAATCTTGATGGCGATGAAGTATAGCCAACCAATGGTGAAATTGGTAAAGAGGACAAATCTTGATAGTGATGAAGTACAGCCAACCAATGGTGAAATTGGTAAAGAGGACAAATCTTGATAGTGATGAAGTATAGCCAACCAATGGTGAAATTGGTAAGGAGGACAAATCTTGATGGTGAAATTGGTAAGGAGGACAAATCTTGATGGCGATGAAGTATGGCCAACCAATGGTGAAATTGGTAAAGAGGACAAATCTTGATAGTGATGAAGTACAGCCAACCAATGGTGAAATTGGTAAGGAGGACAAATCTTAATGGTGATGAAGTATAGCCAACCAATGGTGAAATTGGTAAAGAGGACAAATCTTGATGGTGATGAAGTATAGCCAACCAATGGTGAAATTGGTAAAGAGGACAAATCTTGATGGTGATTAAGTATAGCCAACCAATGGTGAAATTGGTAATGAAGAAAAGTCTTGATGGCGATGAAGTATAGCTAACCGATGGTGAATGCGAATTATTTGATTCAAATCCTAAATCAAATCTTTGTTTTTTATGTGCATATTCTTTGATTTAAGTTGATAATTTTCACCAAGTTCCTCTGTGTCTTATTTATGGCTTCATGATAATCTACATGATATCTTTTTACTGTTTTTAATGCACATGTTAATGCATGATAGTAAAAATCAAATTATCAAGTGACTTTTCACAAAAGTAACAATCTTTGAGTGACATTATTATTTATTATTTATTGTTTATTATTAATTATTAATTTTTTTTTACTGATTAATAAAATGTTTTTTTATTTAATTTTACCTTTATTAACAGAGATTTCAGTTTGTTTGAGTAGTAATTATTACAACTAGTTGTACAAAAGAAACCTTAAAAAAACTAAAAAAAATATTAAATAAATAATCAAAGGGGGTGTCTTGACAAAAAGAAATGAATTTTTTTTTTTATTTATATATAAAAAAAGTGATATACATAAATTTTTATTTCTTTATTTTTTTAAAAAAACACCCCCTTGAAAATAATAAAAAAAAAAATAAAAAAATAAAATTTTGTGCAAAAAAAAAAAAAAATATTGTGGGGAATAAAAAAAAAAATTTAATTTTTTTTTTATTTTTAATATATAAAAATAATAATTTAAAAAAAAAAAAAAAAAAAAAATTTCAATTTAAACTGCGCAATATTAAAAATTTAAATAAATAATTTTTAAAAATTTTAATTAAAAATTTCACCAAAAATAAACAAAAAAAAAAAATTTAATTTTATAAAACCAAATTCAAGAAATACAATAAATAAAGTTTATACGCAGTAGTAATATTGATAATTATAGTCCAATATTTAAAGATTTGATAAATTCTATGTCCTCTTTTTCAAAACATACAAAAGTTGAATCTTATGACGAGATCATGATGAAGGGTGTTGTTGCCCTCGCAACTGAACCTGAATCCAAAGATGATTGTCTGGAAAGATTGTCCGCATTAAATGCCTTCCTCAGACCAGTATTGATTACGGAGGTATCGTTGGACAAATTAAAAGTTAGATGGTGTATTTTCTGCTTTTCCAGAATAGTACCAGAAGTTTGTAGAAATGAATTAATATTTTATTTGGAAAGAAATACAGATAAAACGAATACTCTCACCAATATCAGAAATTGTGTCAGGGACTACATCGAAGATGGTCGCATTGATCATGCCTTCGGTTACCGAAAATATAAACAATTCCGTTACTAACCATAACAAGGGAGCCAAGTTCACCCGACTATCTTAATGGTAGCGTTAAAAATTCATTAAATAAATCTATTGATAATAAATCAATTTTTAAAATATCATATCGTTTAGATTCTACCATGGTACATTATTAATAGTAAATAATGATTTATAGAATTTGTTAATAAAAAATTATTAATTAATAAAAAAAATAATAAACAAAAGACACATTAATTTAAATTTGTTTATTTTATTTTTAGCTATTAAAAAATAAATTATTTAAAAAGTTAACTCCTTTATCACAATCACCCAATACTACAACATCTCTTAAACCTCTTGATTCTATTTTTATATCATCATTGTTATTTTGTGATTGGTTCAATAGGTCATTTGTGTTCCTGAATGGTCCAGTTGATTCAAAATTGATAAGAACTCTAGGTATATCAATTTTAACATCGTTTAATAAACCAGAAAAAGGATAAACTTGAAGTGAGGTACCTAAAACAAATAGACAATCGCACTCTCTGAAATCTGAAATTGAATATCTCTTGAATTCTATTGGTAATTTTTCACCAAAAAATACAACACCTGGTCTAATAATTTCTCTACAGGATGATTCCTTGCAATATGGTAGCCCACCTCTTCCTATTTCTAACCAAATTTCATTTTTATCATATTCTTTTTTACAATTTGAACAATACCAATTATTAAATGATCCATGTGCATGAACAATTAATTCATCTGGTGTACCAGATCTTTCCTGTAGTGGGTCAACATTTTGAGTATAGTTCCTTAAAAGTAATCCCTTATCTGCAAGTTGATTTATAAATTTATGTGATTGGGTTGGTTTAACTAGACTATCTCCATTTGCGGTTGGGTAGAAATGTTTTTTTAATGTTTCAAAAAATAATTCGGGGTTCTCTCTTAGTACCTCCAAAGAGAATGAAAACTGTTGGTTTCTATTCAACAAGCCATCTTTTGTTCTATAAGGTGGAATTCCAGCATTGGCGGAAATACCTGATCCGGTTAAACAAATGATTCTCTTTATTTCCCCATTTTTGATTTTATCACCAATTGATTTCAATCGTTCTAAACCAATTTTATGTAATTCTTCTTTATCTATAGTATATACACTGCTTTGATCTTGATTTTGGTTTATTTCTTTTTTCTTTTCTGTGTTAAATCCATTTAAATATGCTGGGTAGTTGAGTTTAGTGTGCTGATATAAAGCATCATATACTTGTTTTGCATGTTTATTATTATATGCTTGATGTAAAGCACTCCAGCCATGTTTATTTTCTATTGTTGGATCGGCACCATTTTTTAATAAAAACTCAACAAGTTCCAATACATTTGGTTCGTTGCATGCAAGTACATGTAGTGGTGTTGCACCGCCATTGTCTGTTTGATTTAAATCGGCATTACCATTGTAGTGGAGGGTCTTTATACAGTTTAAATTTTTTTCAATATCTTTGGACATAGAACAATTGCAGCATAGATGTAGGGGTGATGAACCATCTTTATCTTTTAGATTTGCTAATTTGATATTCATTTCTACAAAAGCAGTGATTGCTTGATAATTTGATCTGATAGATGCTTCATGAATTGGAGTATTCCCATAACGATTGAATGCTTCACTATTGGTACCATTATCAATTAGATATTTAATAATTTTGACATTATTTGTATTTGCAGCACAGTGTAGAGCATTTGAATTATCCTTTTTAAAGCTATTGACATCGGCCCCATATAATACTAAGCTTGCTAAAAGTGAGTAGTTATCTCTTAACACACACATTATAAATGGGGAAACCCCATTTGCATTATACTGGTCTATAAATCTTTGAAACTCGTCTATTGAATAGTTTTCACTGTAATAAACTAATAGTGCATTTGCAATATCAGTATGGTTGTTGGTAATTGCCATTAATAGAGGTGTTTCCATTTCATTTGATAATGCTGATATTGGAGGCATTTTATTGGTTGCAATCATCATTTCCACAATATCTAAATAACCATTACTAGAAGCTATATGTAAAGCTGTATAGCCTTTATCTATTGTTTGAGTTGAAAAATCAATATTATTCTCTAACAAATATTCAGTTACAGATTTACATTTATTTGATACTGAAACATGCAAAGCATTCCACCCAATTGAATCTGTAAAATTAATGTTATTATTTTCTATAGATAAATAAACTTCAATTATAAACTAAAGAAATATTAAAAAAAAAAAAAAAAATAAAAAGTTAATTTTAAATTTTAATTTTTATTTTTAATTTTTTATTTTTAATTTTTAATTTTTTCCTTACATAATCGTTTAAATAGGCACCAATTAATAAATCATTCCATTCCTTTGGATATTGACTATAGTCTATTTTTTTCTTTCTTAAATTTCTTCCACCAAATATTTTATAAAAAGGTATAAGAGTCAAATAAAGTATAGGTAGTACAGTTATAAAATATAAAAATAATAATATTTTATTTTTAATCATTTTTTTATAAATAATTAATGATTTTGATTTTTATCAAAAATTAATTTATAAAAAACAAAATTATTTTTTTAAAATTTTTTTTTTAATTTTTTTTAATTTTTTTTTTCTTTGAATTTATTTTAAAGAATCCAACATGTGGTATATTATTTATTTTAAAATAATTAAAGGAATAACAAACCACAAATATTTGAAATATATATAAGATATATATAAATATATAAGATATGAATAAATATTTATTAATATATATTCTATATGTGTATAGTTTTTTTTTAAAATTATATTCAAACTTTAAATTATTTTATATTTAATCAAAAAATTTTAAACTTTAATCCAAATCAAAATTTCTTTGGAATAATAATATTATTTATAATTAGTATTGTTATAATAATATTTTGGTGTGTTTATTAAAAAAAATTGGGGAGAATATTTGTATTTTAAAATATCCGATAAAAATCTGATTAGATTTTTTTAAAGATTTTTATAGGAATAGGAGTTTAATATTTATTTTATTTTTGATTAGCTTTTTTTTTTTTATTTTTTTTTTTATTTCTTATAACCTTATTTTTATTCACAATGAAAATAAAATTTATTTTTTTACTAATTATTACTTATTTTATCGATAGTTTATATTGTTATATAATTAAAAATGTAGATACACGAAATATTACAAGTGCATACTTAATTCAAGGTACCCAATGTGATTTTTATTCTACTATATATTGTTCAGTAACACAATTGGGGGAGCAATGTGATACTTTAAATTACTCATTTCCACCATTAATACCAAGTGTAACAAAAAATGGTACTACTTCAGTATTTAACTTAATGTGGAAAATTCCTGTTAGTGAAACAGCAATTTATATTAACTCGATATATGTTTTTACTCTAAGTTGCATACGTAAGATTTTTACTATACTCATTATATATCTATAATAAATTTATTAATAGTTTTTTTTTTTTAGAAATTAGTATTGATGATCTAACATTCAAACCTTTTAGTAAAGGATATTATTTAGAACCCAATATTTATAAAAAAATTGTAACTTATAGTGCTATATACCAAGTGCAATTGCCAGCTAGGAAAGATAAAACACCTTTAAAAATTTCAGGTTCTTGTGTTGGAATACCGGATTGTGTATTAGAATGGATAAGCGGCGATAAATATAAAGTAGGAACCAAAGAAACAATAAGTAATATGTATGATTTATCTTCTATAAAAGTAGCAATCAATATCCAAGGTACTACTAAGGAATTTGATTTTGGTTCTATATATAGCGGTATGTAAAATAATAATGTAATAATACTGAGAATAATTAAAATTATTAATATTAAATTTTAATCAGATGTTTATGATAGTGTTTATGGTTTTAAAGTGTATCAAGAAGGAAGTTTAGCTACATCTTTTCTTTATACAGGTGATGTTCTTTCTTTTAAATCCAATACAACAGTATACAAAACCTCATATTTAATCAGTAAAAACAATGACCCAAGATCATCTCATTTTTTCCCAGTCTATGGGGATGGAAATTCTACAACCTATTTTTATTCAGTTCCAAACTGTGAAACTGTATCAATTGATGTTTATTATAGAAGTGGACCAATTGTTTTAAAGAGTGATCAATCATTTGATTTTCAAAAAAGTTCATGTGGTATGTAAAGAATTTTAATGTTGTATAATTACTCTTTTCTTTTTATTAATAAAAATAACAAAAAAAAAAAATAGAAAATTTTCCCGGTTTATATTCAAATGGAGTTGCTAATTCTTTGGATCTAGGTACTAATGGTATTTCAAATATTGTAAATATTGGATATTCTGATTCCAGATTTATAGTTTTCCCACCAATTGAGGTTGAAGTTTTGGGGATATCAACAACTACCCAGTATCCATTTGGTTTTGTTTTTTCAAACTCAACAGGCTCTCAATTTAGCTATGACATTCCTTACAAAATTATATTGAGAAATAGTGATAATTTAATTAAATTTATATCTTCATTTGATTCTACTGGTTCAAATATAAATATTAGAACATTTGGTAAGTTATTTATTAATAATAAAAAATATTCTATAAATTGTTTTAACTTTTATTTTTTATTGTAGGCACTTATGCTTTGGCAAGAAACCCCAAAATTACAAAAATAGAAGAAATCTATTTAATGAATGGTCTCTATTTGTATAGATTCCAAGCTGACACATCTTATGGGTTTTCTTATATAAAAATAAATTCATTAGAAAGAGTAGGTTTTGGATCTTCCCTCAATGGCGATTTATATCAAGGAGAATATGAAGTAGCTACTTCATCTTTAATTGACATTATAATTCAAATTAGTGATGTTTATGAAGGAAGTGATCAGGTTACTTATGCTTCACTTATTTCTATTGAACCAGAATTACAAATTTTTTCAAAAAAAAATTTTAAAGTTTGTAAGTTTTGATTTTATTTAAAAATAAATAAAAAAATTTTAACTAACCTTTTTTTATTAAAAAGTCGACGTTTTCTCAATTAAAAATGTATCATATTTATATAATGATATAGATGTTTCAAATCGTAGACATTACAATGTATTCTATTTTAATTATAGTGATATACCAAGAGAGACACTTTTTACAATGATACCAACTGATTTATCAGTTTTTTCACCAGTTTTCGAATTTGACTTAAGAAAAGGTGTTCATTCATTCTATTCGACTTATAACACAGATATTCAAATGTTTCAAATCGAATTTTATATTGATGCAAATGTTGGTATGTTTGACTTTTTTTTATTTGTAAATGGGGTTTCTTTAAGTTCAATGGTATTTGATACACAATTAAGAGTTAAAAATAAGGGTAAGTAATTTATGAATAAAAAAATAAAGTAGTTTAAAAATTTATTAATTCATTTATTTATAATTATAGAAATGGATTTACAGGGACCAATAATTAAATCACTCACTAAAATCACTCCAAGTTTAATGAATGTAACAAATAACTTTGATAAAGTTGGTTTTAGAATGACAATTGAGGATTCAACTAATGGTTTTGACTATGGCTATGTTGTTTTCAAAGGAGCAAAAGATTCTGGTTTATACAATATTTCATTTAATTTTAATGATGTTAAACCAGGTGGCAATATTTTTTTAGGGGAGTATGATGTATTGTTTAATATATCATATCCTTGTACCACCCAATCTTATTTCGTATGGGAAACTTTATTGGTAGATAAGATGAATAGAAGGTCGTTTTTTTCTTATGATCCACCAAATCCAAAGTTAATAGGGGCAGCTAGTCCTTACATAAATTATATTAGTAGCTCCTCCAGACAACTTATTGTAACTTGTTCTCCAATATTACAACTAATCAAATCTCCAATTTTAAAATCGTTCAAAGCGTCCACTAATGAGATCGATGTTAGTAAAGCAAACAGAAATGTTACCTTTAATTTCTCTGCATCTGATCCAGAAACTGGTCTAAAATTAGATATGTATCCAATAGTTTATCTAAGTGCTAGTCAAAACCCAATGTTGGAATGTAAATCATCAATAGTAAAAATGAATAAAACCGATGCAAGCTATACATGCACAATAGAATTACCATTAGGTTATGCATATCCAAATCAAATTCTTATTTCAGTATATGGTTTTATAAATAATTATGCTTGCTCCAGAGGATATACCACCGCAGATTTAGTGAGTGGGAAGTTTGACTATGGCTACATAAACACTATTTTCCAAACTAACGACCCCGTTATTTCAAAACACTCCAGGATTTCAGAAAGAGGTGGTGATTTATTATTATTTGGTAGAGGTTTTTCTTCAGACTCAACTGCTTATATAACTTTCAATGATGGTACAACCAGTGTCATTAAAGCATCAACTTTTTATGCCACAACAGTTATATTTTCAAAGGTAAGAGGAACAACAAAACCATATAAAGTATATGTTAAATCAAATAATAAAGATTCAAATATTTTTACAGTAGTGCCAACTATATATGATTATGACATACATTTGGGACCAGTAGAACCACAAATACCAACAGAATCCCCAATACCAACTAATCAGCCACAAAAATGCTCAGGTAATCCAGTGTGTGGAGGTTCAAGCCAAGGAAAATGCATTGAAAATCAAGGTTGCGTATGTTTTTCACCATGGATCGGAATTGATTGTTCATCTCAAATTGTAATTATAGATCCACCAGCAGCAAATGATACATCACCAACCACAAATATCACATTACCAAGTAAAGATAGTAAAAACTCTACTGTTTCATATAAATCATTAATCACACTGGTTTCACTTCGAGAAATAAATATTTTTGGTGATATTGTTTTTAATAAACCATTTGAAACATGGAGAGTTTCACAATCAGATACCAACACATATGTTTATAATTCAAAATTAGAAATTATAAAGAATAACCAAACATCCTATACCAATGTAATAGTAACATTAAAATGGTTTATAAATGAAACTACAATATCTTTTGCAAATGAAGAGCTGCTAATGAATCCATCAACAATGAAGTATACAGTGAGAATTAGTGATTATCCATTCGATAGCGTACTAAATCAATTGGAATTGGTCATGTCAGCTGTAATACAGTCAAATACTACCAAGGATATTTGTTCTGTTAGGGATTTTAGTGATACAACATCGGGTGACAATTCAAATTATCTAAAGATTCAAGTTGATAATCATTCACTCTATGGTAGATTCATTAAAAGAGGTATTATAGATTCAACAGTTAAATCTATTTCAAATGTACTACTAGATAAACACATGAACCCTATAAGCACAACCAATCAATTACAGTCATATATTGGTATTCGAATACCAAACTATAAAGAAAACGTTATTTTAGATCCAGATTTTTCGGTTTTAGTCGATTCGAATGCAGCATCATCCAAGTCAGGTTCAATTTGTTCCAATTCATCTAAATTATCAAATGCTAAAATTGCTGGTATAGTAGTAGGTTGTGCCGCCTTTTTATCCATCATAATTATAATAGTCATTTACCACATATTAAACAAAAATAAAAACAAAAAGTTTTTTGATAATATGAATTTGAAAATGAAGGAAATGAAGAATGTAAATTAAAAAAAAAAAAACCTTATAAATTCAGATAACTAAAAAATAAATAAAGATTTATTTTCATCTCGATAATTTTATTAAAAGTGTAAACATTCTCTTAAAATAAGAGATTGTAATAAATATGTAATAAATAACAAAAATGTAAAAAAAAAGATGTGTTTATTTATAAATTTTGTTTTTTATTATTTTAAATTTTTATTTTTTATTTTTTATTTTTTATTAAAGACTAAAGAGTAAATTTACTCTTTAGTTTTTATTTTTTTACTCTATTATAAAATCCAAGAATGTTAATAAAAAACTTTGGGTATTTTCTTTGTGGTACAAATGAAATATCTTTTGATAAATTTGAATATCTTCTATTGTATACAAGTGGTGAAGGAATTGATACGAGTTACTTTACTGTAATAGATGGTAGGATTGTTAAGTTAAATATATTTTTGCTGCAAATTACTAATTATTTTATTTCTATTATTACTATTATTTATTACTAGAGCGTGATGGAAAGAAAGATAACAATTCTATAAACAAAAAAAGAGATGCTACTACAAATGAAAAAATATTTAAAAGTGATGGTGATTGTAAAAGTCCCTTGAAAAAAAGATCATCTTATATCGACCCTTTCTTTAAAGAAACATTTTTATCAAACACTTTAAATAATGTTATAAACAAAAGCAATATAAATGGATACTGTTACAAATCAAATGATGAACATAAAAAACTCAGAAGAATGAGGAGGATAGAAAGAAGAAAAAGAAAAAGAGAAATATCTGAAAATAGAATGAGAAATATTAAAATAAAATTGAAATATTTAAAAAGTACAACTATTGTAAAAATTGGTGATATATGTAAAGTGGTCTATTAAATAATATAATAAAATGTTTGTTTTTTTTATATCTAAATATTTCTTATATATTTATTTATTAATATTTGCAGCTATTATTGTGAAAAGAAAAAAAAATCATTGTGATTATAGAAAAAAAAAATTTTAATTTAAATAAAAAAAATTTTAATTTTTTTTTTTTTTTTTTTGGATATTAATTTTTTTTTTTATTTGAACATGTGTAACTTTTTTTAAATATATTTTTTTATTCAACGAATTTATCAAAGATTTTATTTATAAATATTATTGTAAAAATTATAAAAAAAAAAAATGGTTTATACAAATTTTTTTTTTTTTTTTTTGTTTTGTTTTAAAAATTATTAATTAAAAAAAAAATGAATATAATAAATATTGTTTTATATTTATTTATAGTTTATTTTATATACTCTGGTGTAGGTATATTTAGATTTTTTTAAAATATTTAGATTTTATATTTATATATATTCATATTATATCTTTATATTTAGTATAATAAAATTAAAAAAATTCATACAAAAGAATTAAAAGGTCCTTTCGCAATACCAATTTTAGGCAATTTACATCAACTTGGTAAATATGGATTACCACATCATACATTAACAGAATTTCATAAAAAATATGGCCCAATTTATAGAGTTTTTTTTGGTGATGTTTACACTGTTGTAATTAATGATCCAAAAATAATTAGAGAGATATGTATGGATCATCATGAAACTATTGGTAGAAATAGACCTGTAACACCATCATTTAGATATGCCCAAAATGGTAATGGAATATCAACATCAAACGAACAGTGGCAAAGGAATCGTGAAATTGTACAAAATGCATTAAAAAGAGGTGCCTCTACTAAAAAGATTTACGAAATGTTGGATGGTCAAGTATCCGAATTAATCAAGTCAATGAAGAAATTTGAAGAATCTGGGGAACCTTTTGAAATTCATCTATATGCCCACCGTTACACTTTGGCAACAATGTTCAAATATATTTTCAATGAAGATGTAGACTATAATCAAGATATTAACCAAAGCAAAATAGCAGAGTTGAATGGACCACTAGCAGAGATATTCAAAGACCTCTCATCTGGTAAATTAGGTGACTTTATTTATATTCTTGCACCAATCTATTATCTTTATCTTTGTTTTACAGAGAAAAATGTAAAAAATTTAAAAAATTATATGAAAGAGAAATATAATCAACATCTATCCACTTACCAACAAGATGACCCAAGAGATTTATTAGATATATTAATTAAAGAATATGGAAGTGAAAAAAATCAAATAGATGCAATAATTGGGGTAATATTCGATCTCTTTTTGGCAGGTAGTGATACTGTAAGTTTATTTAATAAAGATCTTTATAGCATAAATAAAAAGTAGTTCTAACAATATTTTTTATAAATTTAGGCAGCTGCATCAATTGAATGGTTTACATTAAGAATGTGTAATAATTTAGATATTCAGGATAAGGTTTATAATGAAATTAAAAGTGTTGTTGGTGACAGGGGGTTTGTAAAGTTGACAGACAGACCTTCAACACCATTTTTAAATGCAGTTATCAAAGAATCATTAAGATATTCACCAGTAGGTCCATTTGGATTACCCAAATATTGTGTCACTGATGTAATGGTTGGGGGTCACTTTATTCCTAAAAATTCGCAAATCCTATTTAATTACAGAGGTTTAGGTTTTAATGAAGAATATTTTGAAAATCCTCATCAATTTGACCCATTAAGATTCCTCAATCAAAATAATGATGCTTATATACCTTTTGGCTTGGGTGATAGAAATTGTAAGTATAATATAAAATTTAAAATTATTATTAAAAACTATACTAATATAAATTCAATTTTAATATTAAAGGTGTTGGTCAAGATTTAGCTAGCAGTGAATTGTACCTTGCATTTGCAAATATCGTCCTAAACTTCAATTTAACATCTTTAGATGGTAAACCTATTGATGACACCGAAAACTTTGGCCTCACACTAAAGCCAAATAAATTTAAAATCAACTTAAAATCAAGAAACTTAAAAAATTAAATAAAAAAAAATAAAAAATAGATTTTAAATTCTATTACTATTTTATTCATTTTTAAATTATTTGAATAAAATTTAAAAAAAATATTTTATTTGATTGGTTTGGTTGTTTTGGCAGATGGTTTGCTGATTTTAACCTTATTCGTGGCGAATGGAATGTTATCAAATCATAATGTCACTAGATAATGTTGAAGTGATTTTTTCAGGATCATACTGCTTTTTTGGGAGATAAATTGATTCGGTGTAGGGTTTTTTTCTTTTTTTTTAATCATTTCAAAAACATTTCAAATTAAAAAATCAAAGCGAAGTCATAATTATAGTGAAGTCTTTCTGCTTCTGGTAGGTTTAATCTCCTCATTTTCTACCAATTCATATGATGTAAAATTGGGTATAGCAAAAATATTCGTATCGTTCTAATGGTGGTGCGATAATTTTTTCTTCAGGTGTATTTTGAAAAGTTGATAAATTTGAGATTTTTTTTAATTTTATCTTTAGTTTTGGAATTGCTACAGTGATCTTCCAAATCATCGAAATCTCCAGGTGCTTCAGATTTGATTCTTTTTGAAGATTTAGTTGACATTTTTTTACTTGGGCTAAAATAAAAAAATAAAAAAAATAAAAAAACAGTGTTGGAGAAATTGTGTCAAGCAATATAGAGGGTAGTCATATTGACCATGCATACAAAAATAACAACAAAGAATTTGGCAAATCCAATAATATCAGAAGTAATGGTAATTCCAGAGACTTCAATCCTGTTAACAATAACATAAAATAATAAGTCTTTTTTATTTATTATTTCACGCGATTTATTACATAAAAAAAAAAAAAAATAAAAACATAAATTTTTTAAAAAAAAAAAAAACATTGAAAATTTTAATAAATTTTTTATTAAAAATTTTATTAAAAAAAAAAGCAAAAAAATTAAAAAAAAAATTTTCACACAAAATTATCTATTTTATGCACAAAATATAAAATGAGTGTATTAATAGAAACAAATATTGGGGATATTGTAATTGACTTAAAGATAAAAGAATGTCCCAATACAGCTAAAAATTTTCTTAAATGTAAGTTTATAAAATTATTTTATTAAAAAAAAAAAAACAATGCTAATTTTTAATTTATATAGTATGTAAAATAAAATATTATAATTTTTGTATATTTTATAATGTACAAAAAGATTATTTAATAGAATGTGGTGACCCAACCAATACAGGTAAAAATGGTGAAAGTATATATGGTATTTTATATGGCAATGAAGCAAGATATTTTCAAGATGAAATTAAAAAGAATATAAATAATCACAGTTCACTAGGTACAGTGGCTATGGCCAACAAAGGAAAGGATTTGAATGATTCAAGATTTTATATTACTACTAAAGAGAATTTAGATCAGCTAAATGAAAAGCATACAGTTTTTGGACAGGTTGTAGAGGGTTTGGATGTGCTTGAAAAGATAAACTCGACATTTGTAGATGATGATAATAGACCATTGCAGAATATACGTATTTTACATACGATTATATTGGATGATCCGTTTTCAGATCCAAATGGTTTAGAGGTGCCTGACAAATCACCAAGTTTTAAAAAAGATTTTAATATAGATAACAGATTCGAAATAGATGACGATTTAGATAAAGAGAATCGTGGTAAATCAAAAGAAGAAATTCAAGAAGCAACCGAAGAGAAAGATGCAAGATCTAGATCTGAATTATTGGAAATGATTGGTGTATTACCTTCTGCTGATATTAGACCACCCGATCATGTATTGTTTGTTTGTAAATTAAATCCAACTACAGAATCTGAAGATTTAGAAATTGTATTCTCTCAATGTGGAACCATCAAAAGTTGTGAAGTAGTAAGAGATAAAGTTACTGGTGATTCATTGTGTTATGCTTTTGTGGAGTACTCTTCAAAAGAAGAATGTGAAAGAGCTTACTTAAAAATGGAAAATATTTTAATTGATGAAAGAAGAATTCATGTCGATTTTTGTCAATCTGTTGCAAAAGTTAATAATAATTCATTAAGTAAGTTTTCTTATAGTTTCAAAAAAAAAAAAAAAAAAAAAAAAAAAAAAAAAAAACTAACATTTCAATTTATTTATTAGGAAATTTCTTAACAAAAGGAAATACCAAAAATTTTAAAAATAATAACAGTGGAGGTATTAGCTATAACAACAAATATAATAGTAGTAGTAAATACTCTATTGATAAAACCTATCAATCACAATCAGGAACAAAAGGATATGATTATGTATATGACGATCAAGAAAGAGCTCCCAAAAAATCAAAATATCAAGATAATGGAGAAAATATCAAAAACAGAGAATATGACAAAAATAACAGAGATTATAAAGACAGGGATTACAGAGATGATAGAGATAGTAGAGATAATAGAGATAATAGAGATTATAGGGATCATAGGGATAAAAAAGATCATAGAGATAATAGAGATTATAGGGACAATAGGGACAATAAAGACTATAGGGACAACAGAGACTACAGGGACAATAGAGACTATAGGGACAATAGAGATAATAGAGAACGTGATCGTAATCGTGACAATCGCGATAGTAGAGATTATCGTAATAGAAGTGATACCAGGGACAGTAAAGATTATCGAGAACGAGATAGAGAAAGAGATTACTCAAGAAAAAATTAAAAGATTTTTTTTTTTTTAGTATTAACCAAATTCTTTTTTTTTTTTAATACAAAAATAAAGATAATTCATTTTTATTTATTTTTTCTAAAAATTATTCATAAACGATTAATCAATTAGATTTATTTTAAAAAGAAGAAATTAATTTTAACTTTATTTGTAAATTCTATTAGAAAAATAGATAGGATTTTAAGAATAAACTAATAAAAATAATAAAAATATATATTTACATATTATTTTCCTTTAATATTTTTTTTTCTTTTCTTTTATTAACATTTCTTACAAAATTTTTTTGTTTTTTAAAAAAAGGGGTTCAAATTACAAACAATAGAAGTAATAGTAAAATTAATATCTTCATTAGATATTACAATAGTTACACGTCTTCTTTTAAAATAGATATAATATATTATCATCATTAATTTTAAGCATATGAAATAAAATATAATAAATAAAAAAATAAAAATTCTATTTTATATACAGATAAAAAAAAATGATTAATTAAAATTTTATAAATTTAAATATATTATAATAATGATAATAATTATTATATTTAATAAAAAGTAATAATAAAATATTAATAATGGGCTCTTTTTATAATTTTTTTCAAAATAATAATAATTGGAAAATGGATGGTAGAAATAAACAATAAAATAAATTATAACATTTGCAGAAATACAAAAAAAATTTAAATGGTAAATAATAGAAAATTTTTACAACTAATTTGTTGTTTTCTTTTTTTTTTTTTTTTTTTGTTGTTGTTATAATTATCGTATATTTTTTTTTTTTTTTTTTTTTTTTTTTTTTTTTGTTAAATTAGTACCAATTAAAATATAGGTTCCTATTTACAATCACTATATATTATTATAGATCATCATCACTCCTATTCCCCCCCTACTAAAATTCCCCTATATATACTATCAGCTATGTAATAATTTATTAGAAAAAAACAAAACATTTTTATAATATTCGAAAAAAAAAAAAAAAAAAATTACTTTATATTTTCCATAAATTAATTTATTTATAGAGTTCAAAACAACAACAATAAATTATATCTGTTATTGGGTGGGGTAAAATTTGTTTTTTCATTTTTTTATTTATTTATTTAATAATTGTAATAATATAAAATATATGTGAATTTGGTTGTGATGAAAAAAAAAAAAAAAAAAAGAGATCTATTTATAATACTATAAATTTTTATTTTACCACACAATTGGTTTATATAATACTACTACACACAATTTCTCAATTTTTACACACAAGTATAAATAAAAACATTAACAAATAATCAAAAAAAAAAACATTAAAAAAATTCACACACAGACTTTATTTATAACATCATTCTAAATTTATTTTCAAAAAAAAAGTTTAATCTGTGTGTGAATGAAAAAAAAAAAATTAATATGAGTATTAATATAATTTTATATTATTGCCTCCAATGGATACAATGATTGGAGATTTAGCCATATGGAATCAATTTAAAATAGTTATAGTATAATATAGAGTTTTTTTCTTTTTATATATCTTTTTAAAATTTTTTTTTTTTGGTGTGGTGTTGTATAAATTTTAATTGTGTTTTTTAATTTTTTTAAAATTTACAGTTATACAAATCATTTTAAATCATATAAAGTTTTAAAAGTGAAAAAATTTACTTTAATATTCCAAATTTAGTCATATGAATGAAAAATCATTACACCCAAAAATATATAATACAAATATAACAACAACTCATATCAAATTGTTAGTTATCATATTAAATTATAAAATCAATTTCTTAAAGAAACTTAACAATAATAAATACAAAGTTATTTTATTTTAAACTCACCCACACTTAAAAATAAACACCCACACACAAAAAAAAAAAACACCCATTATACCCCACTATACAATCATTTCATTAAGATATATAAAACACAGTTTTACAACCACCTCCCCCCTTTAACACACATTACTATTTTTTTTTTTTTTAATCATACAATACCACTATTTTTATTTTAATCAAAAATAACAATAGTAATGGTACCAATAACAACACACACACAAAAAAAAAAAATAACAATAAACACATACACACAATAATATTGATTAATGGTGATACTATATTTAAATAACTAATAACCATTGAATCGTCTCATAGTCTTATTTCAGTGTATCAACATCTAAACAAATTATTATAGTATTTATATTGAAAAGGTATTAAATTCGCACTATATATTTTTAAATTATATAAATTACACACAAATACACCCACACATTCACATGTTGTATAATAGTATCAACAACATATATATTTTTCAATTCAGTATCATGTTATAATTGATCAATTATAATAGTAGTAGTATGCGGATACTAAAAAGGCTCAAAATTTGTATTTAAAAAAAAATATATTAATTAAATTTATTTAAAAATTATTATTATTATATTATTTTTTTTAATAATAATAATATTTTTTTGAACTTGAGAAAGTCAAATTTATTTTTTTTTCTATTTTTTTTAATCAAAATTATTTTATTAATACTAATATTATTTATTATTATTAAGTTATTTTATTATTTTGTATTTAGGTACAGAAATATAACAATAATAAAGGTAAGTTGTAAATTTAATAATTGTTTTTTTAAAAATTATATACTTTTTTTTTTTTTATTTTATTTATTTTCTTAAAACAAATCATATATTAACATTTATTTTCAATTTGTTTTTTTTAACTAAAATAAAATTTAATCTTTCAAATTAATTCATTAATACTAATTCAAAATTTTATAGAAAGAATAATTTAAAAAAAAAAAAAAAAAAAAAAAAAAATAATAATAATAATAATAATAATAATAATAATAATAGAAAAAATAATTATAGAAAAAATAGGTAAGTTAACTATATTAAATATTTTTTATAATAATAAAAAAGTATATTAACAATTTTTTTTATATCACAGTTTATTTATTCCGAGTTTATTTTTAATAAAAAAAAAAAAAAAAAAAAAAACAAAAAAAAATTACCCATTTTATATTATAAAAAATGGGTACCAATAATCATTATTTAATATTTATTATATTTATAATATTATTTATAAATTTAAATAATACCGAAATATTAGGAGTGCCTTCAAAAATTAAACCAGGAAGATATGGTGAAATATGTAAAGATTGTATTCCAAAGAAATCATATTTAGATTTTTCAGAATTATCTCCAACTGGATTCGAGTTGGTTGACAACGCAAAGTTGGAATGGTACGAAAATTTTCCAAAGGTCAAGGTCTCAGTAAATGGAACATCAAATCCAGTTATTATGGGACAAACACATCATTATAGCGAATTATTAGAAAATGTTAATTTTTTCAATATTACAGGACGAAATGATATTAAATCATTAATGCATTATTCTTGTGGTAATGCAACATCAAGTGTCGTATTCGAATTTACAAAACCAACTCAACAATTCTTTTTGGTTGTCTTTGGTATTACTGCAGAATCATCATTAACAGTCGATGCTTACGATGCCTATAATTATCCAGTCAATATGTTGAATTGGGATACTCTAGATCATGGTTTGCTCTCTTATAGTGGCGGAAATGGATCAATTCATCACCCACCAGCTGTTAGACAAACTCATAGTAGCGCAACTTTAGACTTAACCTGGTCCAACAAAGGAATGAGTAGTTACATCATTTTGGAGCCAAATCAAGATATCGCCAAAATTATTTTATCCGTAAGAAATACTGCTTGTGAAGGCCAATGTAAAGGTACAGCTCTTTATTACTCTTTAATTGCAGTTGGAGAATGTCAAGAAAGCACTTTATTCGCTATCGGTAATTATGTTTTCATTGATTCTAATCGTGACGGTATTAAAGAAGGCTCAGAAGATGTTGCAGCAAATGTCAAGGTAGAATTATATGACTCAATTTCAAAAAAATTATTAAAAACAAATACTACTGATTCAAATGGTAAATACATTTTCGACAATTTACCCGAAGGTGCTTATCAGGTTAAATTTTATCCACCACAAGGTTACATGATTACAAATATGGGTCAAGATAGTGTAGCAAATCCCTCAACTGGTTTAACCAACAATTTTCTCTTATCAATGAACGCATCCAACATTGAATTATCAAATGGTCAAACAAATGCAACTTATTGGAATCCAACCATTAATGCAGGTATCACTTTAATATCTTATGGAATTAAAGGAAAAGTTTGTAATGATCCAGATGACGATGGTAAAAGTGATGGATATTTACCAAATATCAAAGTTTCATTATACTCTTCCGATCATTCATCTCTTTTAAAAACAACTACTACCAATTTCCAGGGTGATTTCAATTTTGAAGACCTTCCAAAAGGAGAATATAGTATTTCATTTACATTACCAACTAATTATCAATACTCAAGTGAAGCTCTTAAAAAACTTGAAAAAGGATTTTTAAATCATATCAAATTAGATTCTAACAGTACCATTGAAAATGTTTTAAGTGGTGTTGAAATTTGTATGAAAGCCGAAACTTTTGCAATTGGTGGTTTAGCATTCAAAGACTCAAATGACAATGGTTTCTACGAAATGACAAATGAATCAGTTTTCCCAAATATAACAGTCGAATTATACAACCAAAATGGTGATAAAATCGCTTCATCTTTGACAAACCCATCCGGTTCTTATTACTTTGACTTATTAGTACCAGGTACTTATAACATCCACTTCCAAATTCCACCAGGTTATAAAGTTTCACCACAAACTACATTCTCTTTATCTGACCCTTCTGCATGGATTCGTAATATTGTCATTAGTGATAGCACTACAATTCAAATTCCAAATTTTATTGAAACTATTAAAGCAAACAATATTCTTTTAAATCAAAATTCCGGTTTTGTATTAAATAAATATGGTATTGGATCATTTGTATGGAATGATCAAGATAGAAATTCAATTAGAAATTCAAATGAAAGTGGTATTGCAAATGTAACAGTTAATGTTTTATTAAATGGAAATATAATTGCTTCAACAATAACAGATTCAAATGGATCATATTTGATTAATAACTTGGAACCAAATGATTATCAAGTTCAATTTGTACTTCCAGATTCAGAATATTTCAAATTCTCACCTCAAACTCATCAATCAAAACCAGATTCAAATGGCTTAGTCAATAGTGTTCATTTGGGTCCAGATAATAAAGAAATAATAGCTGGTATAGAACCAAATATAAATGCTGGTGTTTTTGAAATCGATTTTGCTATTGGTGATTTAGTCTATGTAGATGAAGATCGTAATGGAGTTTATAACAGCCAAAAAGATAAAGGTGCTCCATTCATTACTGTCAAACTCGTAAATGAAAAGACTTTTGAAGTTTTAACAACTCAAACTGCTCATGATGGTAGCTATAGTTTCAGTCATTTAAAGAATGGTAATTATTGTATTGAATTTACAATTCCTCAAGGTTTCCATGCTTCTCCAACTACTGATTACAGCGTTGGTGATGTAAATGGCCAAGTTTGTTTTACCATAGATTTAGAAAATGCAGATCCAATTTCAAAATATAAAAAACCATATTCCGCAGACTTATTAGGCGATTATTATGACGATACTATAGATCAAGGTATTATTATTAGTTGGTTCGCTATTGGCGATTTAGTTTTCTATGACGAAAATCGTGATGGATTATTCAATAGCCAAGTAGATAAGGTAGCACCCAATGTTACAGTGGTTTTAAATCAAAATGGTACAGAACTTTCAAGAACCAATACAGATCAAAATGGTCATTACATTTTTGATAAATTGGTACCAGGTGTTTACGATGTTCAATTTATTGCACCAAATGGTTACAATTTTACAGTTCTTTCAAAAGATAACAAAGCAAATAGCCAAGGTATGGTTAACTCTGTAGATTTAAGTTTTATCAGTGACTCAGTTGTTCCAATCGATCCATCTATTGATGGTGAATCAATTGAAGCTTCATACATCGATAGAACTGTTGATGCCGGCTTAGTTTCATTATTATTTACAATTGGTACTCATGCATGGATAGATTTAAATAATAATCAAGCAGATGACGATAATAAGGGTTTATCAAATGTTAATATTACTTTACTTGATTCAAAAGGAAATGTTGTTCAATCAGTCTTAACAGATGATAAAGGTTTATATAGTTTCAATAATGTTCCACCAGGCGATTATTGTGTAATAGCATCCAATCCAGATAAATACTATGCCATTTTACCAACTAGTCAATATTCAGTATTTGATGTCTCTGGTAAATATTGTTTTACTCTAACTCCAGGAGATAATTTAGTTAAAGATGATGTAAACATTGGTTATACTTCACAATTACAAATCGGTGAATTTATATGGGTAGATAGTAATAATGATGGTAGTTTTGATAAAAGTGTCGAAAGTTTATTAAATGATACTTTAGTTACAGTTACACTTTTAAATGGCAATGGTGCAACTATCTCTTCAGTCGATACAACAAATGGTCAATACCAATTCATAGATTTATTACCAGGAGACTATTGTGTTAAAATGACAATTCCCGATAATTACAAACAAGTTGTTGGTACTCCAGATTCTCCATTCAATGCTAGTTCAATTTACTGTTTCCGTTTAAATGAAACTTCTCGTAATGATATTAACATGGGTTTGATTCCATTGTTCAAAGTTGGTAATAATGTTTGGTTGGACCCATATAATGTTGGTAAAAAATCATCAGATTCCACTGGTGTTTCAAACTTTACTTTATATTTGGTTGATGATAAAGGAAATCAACTTCAACAAACCACAACTGATGACAACGGAGATTATTACTTTAAAGATCTGGAACCAAACAACTATTGTATTATTGCTAGTTTGCCACAAGGTTATTCACTTGTTAATACCTCCGAAGATAGTCTATTCAGCCCAGGAGTTGGTTCAATCATTCCAAATTTCATTTTACCAAATCCATCTGGTAACATTGCTCATTATTGTTTCTTCCCAACTAAAAATGACGATACTATAGACTTAGGTATTACTCCACTTTATCAAGTAGGTCATTTGGTTTGGATTGATGCTAATAACAATGCTCAATTAGATAGCAACGAAATCGGAAAACCTGATATTTATTTAGATTTAACTAACCAGGCTAATGGAGAAGTTATAACAACTATTACCGATTCAAAAGGAGAATATCAATTTAATAATGTACTAGCTGGTAATTATTGTATTTCAGTTGAAAATATTCCAAATAAATATAAAATTGTTGTTCCATCAAAAGATTCAGTTTTGGATGCAAACACAGCAAAACATTGTTTTGAATTAAAAGAATCCAATCTTAATATCAATATAGGTCTTGTTCCAGTAAATAATGTTGGTGAAGTTGCATGGTTAGATAAGAATAACGATGGAATTAAAGACTCCGATGAAGGACTATCTAATGTAACAATTAATTTAACTGATAAGGACGGAAATATTTTAAATACAACCACAACAGACTCAAATGGAAAATATAGTTTCGAAGATTTACCACCAGGTTCATATTGTGTAGAAGCAGATACTCCATTAGGTACAATCCCAGTTACTGGTAGTAATGATTCACCATTTGTAGATGGTAAATACTGTTTCGAGTTTACTGGACCAGAACCAATCGATAGAATTGATGTAAATCCAGGTTTTGTTGAAGTATTAGACATCGGTCAATACGTATGGGTTGATCAAAATAATAATGGTATTAAAGATGAAAACGAAATTTTATTACCAAATGTTGAAGTTCATATATTCTCACCAAATGGTACATCAATTGCAAATCTTACAACCGATTCAGATGGACGTTACTCACTCAAAGATCAAGTTCCAGGTTCATATTGTGTACAAATGGTTATCCCACCACATTTCAAACAAGTAGAAAAATCAATTGACTCACCATTTGACGAAAACACCAAATATTGTTTCAATATGACTGATAAATCAGTATTAGATGCCAATTTAGGTTTAATTCCATTATACAACGTTGGAGATAAAGTATGGTTAGATCCATTCAATACAGGTAAACAACAACCAGATTCACCAGGTGTATCTGACATTCCATTAACATTACTCGATAAAGATGGTAATCCACTTGCATCAACCACAACAAGCTCTGATGGTAAATTTAATTTCCCAGATGTTGCACCAGGTAACTATTGCATCGAAGCACAAATTCCAAAAGACAAATATAAACCAGTCAACAAATCAGATGATAGTCTATTCGAAGTTATTGAAAACAACAATAGTGATACAGTAACCGTTAAATATTGTTTCGAAGTTGTAGATCAAGATGTCAAACCACCACTTGGAGTTACACCATATTATCAAATAGGTTCATTAGTATGGATTGATTCAAACAACAATGATGAATTAAACCAACCACAAGATATCGGTAAATCTGATGTTGAATTAACATTAATTAACCAATCAAATGGTGAAACAAAATCAACTACAACTGATATCGATGGTAAATATTCAATTGATCACTTATTAGCTGGTAATTATTGTATTTCAGCCACCGCTCCAAATAAATTCAAATTTATTGTTCCATCAAAAGACTCTGTTGTTGATTCAGAAGGTAACTATTGTTTCGAACTCAAATCAGACAACCTTAATATCAATGCTGGTTTAATTCCACTTAACAGTGTTGGTGAAGTTGCATGGTTAGATAAGAATAATGATGGTGTAAGAGATTCCGATGAAACATTAGCCGATGTCAATCTAACTCTTACTGATTCAAATGGACAAGTTTTAGAATCAACTGTCACCGAATCAAATGGTAATTACAAATTCGAAGGTTTACCACCAGGTTCATATTGTGTTGAAGCAGATACTCCATTAAGTACTGTTCCAGTTACTCGAAGCCCTGATAATCTATTTGTCAATGGTAAATACTGTTTCGATTTTGCTGGTTCAGAACCAATCGATAGAATTGATGTAAATCCAGGTTTTGTTGAAGTATTAGACATCGGTCAATATGTATGGATTGATCAAAATAATAATGGTATTAAAGATGAAAACGAACCATTATTATCAGGTGTTGAAGTGCACATTTTCTCACCAAATGGTACATCAATAGCAAACTTTAATACTGATTCAGATGGACGTTACTCACTCAAAGATCAAGTTCCAGGTCCATATTGTGTACAAATGGTCATCCCAGAACATTACAAACAAGTACAAAAATCAATTGATTCACCTTTCGATGAGGATGCAACTTATTGCTTCAACATGACTGATAAATCAGTATTAGATGCCAATTTAGGTTTAATTCCATTATATAATGTTGGAGATAAAGTATGGTTAGATCCATTCAATACAGGTAAACAACAACCAGATTCTCCAGGTGTATCTGATATTCCATTAACATTAATCGATAAAGATGGTAACTCAGTTGTATCAACTAAATCAGATCAAAACGGAAATTATTTATTCCCAGATGTTGCACCAGGTCATTATTGTATTGTTGCAAATGTTCCAGAATCATACAAACCAGTTAACAAATCAGATGATAGTCCATTCGATGTCACATCCGACTCATCAGTTCAATTTTGTTTCGATTTATCAGAATCAATTGACAATGCTGATTTAGGTTTATCACCATATTATCAAATCGGTTCATTAGTATGGGTTGATTCAAATAACAATGATGAATTAAATCAACAAAAAGATATCGGTAAATCTGATATTGGGGTTACATTAACAAATCAAGCAAATGGTGAAGAAATAACTACTACAACTGATGTCGATGGTTCATACTCAATTGATCACTTATTAGCAGGTAATTATTGTATTTCAGCCACCGCTCCAAATAAATTCAAATTTATTATTCCATCAAAAGACTCTGTTGTTGATTCAGAAGGTAACTATTGTTTCGAACTCAAATCAGACAACCTTAATATCAATGCTGGTTTAATTCCACTTAACAGTGTTGGTGAAGTTGCATGGTTAGATAAGAATAATGATGGTGTAAGAGATTCCGATGAAACATTAGCCGATGTCAATCTAACTCTTACCGATAAAGATGGAAACATATTAAACACTACAAGATCAGAATCAAATGGTAATTACAAATTCGAAGGTTTACCACCAGGTTCATATTGTGTAGAAGCAGATACTCCATTAGGTACAATCCCAGTTACTGGTAGTAATGATTCACCATTTGTAGATGGTAAATACTGTTTCGATTTCGCTGGTTCAGAACCAATCGATAGAATTGATGTAAATCCAGGTTTTGTTGAAGTATTAGACATCGGTCAATACGTATGGGTTGATCAAAATAATAATGGTATTAAAGATGAAAACGAAATATTATTACCAAATGTTGAAGTCCATATATTCTCACCAAATGGTACATCAATTGCAAATCTTACAACCGACTCAGATGGACGTTACTCACTCAAAGATCAAGTTCCAGGTTCATATTGTGTACAAATGGTCATCCCACCACATTTCAAACAAGTTGAAAAATCAATTGACTCACCATTTGACCAAAACACCAAATATTGTTTCAATATGACTGATAAATCAGTATTAGATGCCAATTTAGGTTTAATTCCATTATACAACGTTGGTGATAAAGTATGGTTAGATCCATTCAATACAGGTAAACAACAACCAGATTCACCAGGTGTATCTGATATTCCATTAACATTAATCGATAAAGACGGTAATCCACTTGCATCAACCACAACAGGCTCAGATGGTAAATTTAATTTCCCAGATGTTGCACCAGGTAACTATTGTATCGAAGCACAAATTCCAAAAGACAAATATAAACCAGTCAACAAATCAGATGATAGTTTATTCGAGGCTATTGAAAGCAATAATAGTGATATTGTAACCGTTAAATATTGTTTCGAAGTTGTAGATCAAGATGTCAAACCACCACTTGGAGTTACACCATATTATCAAATTGGTTCACTTGCTTGGATAGATTCAAACAATGATCATATTTATGATACATCAGATTCAATTAAACCAGGAGTACAATTAACATTAACAAATCAAGCAAATGGTGAAATAAAATCCTCTGTTACTGACATTGATGGTAAATATTCAATTAATCACTTATTAGCAGGTAACTATTGTATTTCAGCCGCCATACCAGAAAAGTATAAATTCGTTGATAGAAATGACGACTCTGTAGCCAACTCTACCGGTGATTATTGTTTCGAATTAACTCAATCTAATCCAAATATCAATTTTGGTTTTACTCCAGTAAATAGTGTCGGTGAAGTTGCATGGTTAGATAAGAATAATAATGGTGTAAGAGATTCAGATGAAGGTTTATCTGATGTTTTAGTTAAGCTTACTGATTCTGAAGGAAATATATTAAACACCACCACAACAGATTCAAATGGTAATTACAAATTCGAAGATTTACCACCAGGTTCATATTGTGTTGAGGCTATTACTCCATTAGGTACAATCCCAGTTACTGGTAGTAATGATTCACCATTCTTTAATGGTAGATTTTGTTTCGATTTCACTGGCTCAAAACCAATTGATAGAACTGATGTAAATCCAGGTTTTGTATCAACATTAGATATTGGCCAATACGTATGGGTTGATGAAAATAATAATGATATTAAAGATGAAAACGAACCATTATTACCAAATGTTGAAATTCATATATTCTCACCAAACGGTACATCAATTGCAAATCTTACAACCGATTCAGATGGACGTTACTCACTCAAAGATCAAGTTCCAGGTTCATATTGTGTACAAATGGTTATCCCACCACATTTCAAACAAGTAGAAAAATCAATTGACTCACCATTTGACGAAAACACCAAATATTGTTTCAATATGACTGATAAATCAGTATTAGATGCCAACTTAGGTTTAATTCCATTATACAACGTTGGTGATAAAGTATGGTTAGATCCATTCAATACAGGTAAACAACAACCAGATTCACCAGGTGTATCTGATATTCCATTAACATTAATCGATAAAGATGGTAAAACTACTGTTTCAACTACAACAGGCTCAGATGGTAAATATAATTTCCCAGATGTTGCACCAGGTCATTATTGTATTGTTGCAAATATCCCAGAATCGTACAAACCAGTTAACAAATCAGATGATAGTCCATTCGATGTCACATCCGATTTATCAGTTCAATATTGTTTCGATTTATCAGAATCAATTGACAATGCTGATTTAGGTTTATCACCATATTATCAAATCGGTTCATTAGTATGGGTTGATTCAAATAACAATGATCAATTAAACCAACCACAAGATATCGGTAAAGCTGACGTAGATATAAAACTTACAAATCAAGCAAATGGTGAAGAAATAACTACTACAACTGATATCGATGGTAAATATTCAATTGATCACTTATTAGCTGGTAATTATTGTATTTCAGCCACCACTCCAGATAAATTCAAATTTATTATTCCATCAAAAGACTCTGTTGTTGATTCCGATGGTAACTATTGTTTCGAACTCAAATCAGACAATCTCAATATCAATGCTGGTTTAATTCCACTTAACAGTGTCGGTGAAGTTGCATGGTTAGATAAGGATAATGATGGTGTAAGAGATTCCGATGAAACATTAGCCGATGTTAATCTAACTCTTACCGATAAAGATGGAAACGAATTAAACACAACCACAACAGATTCAAATGGTAATTACAAATTCGAAGGTTTACCACCAGGTTCATATTGTGTCGAAGCAGATACTCCATTAAGTACTGTTCCAGTTACTGGAAGCCCTGATAATTTATTTGTAGATGGTAAATACTGTTTCGATTTTGCTGGTTCAGAACCAATCGATAGAATTGATGTAAATCCAGGTTTTGTATCAACATTAGATATTGGCCAATACGTATGGGTTGATCAAAATAATAATGGTATTAAAGATGAAAACGAAATATTATTACCAAATGTTGAAGTCCATATTTTTTCACCAAACGGTACATCAATTGCAAATCTTACAACCGATTCAGATGGACGTTACTCACTCAAAGATCAAGTTCCAGGTTCATATTGTGTACAAATGGTTATCCCACCACATTACAAACAAGTTGAAAAATCAATTGATTCTCCATTTGACGAAAACGCCAAATATTGTTTCAATATGACTGATAAATCAGTATTAGATGCCAATTTAGGTTTAATTCCATTATACAACGTTGGAGATAAAGTATGGTTAGATCCATTCAATACAGGTAAACAACAACCAGATTCACCAGGTGTATCTGACATTCCATTAACATTACTCGATAAAGATGGTAATCCACTTGCATCAACCACAACAAGCTCTGATGGTAAATTTAATTTCTTAGATGTTGCACCAGGTAACTATTGTATTGAAGCACAAATTCCAAAAGACAAATATAAACCAGTCAACAAATCAGATGATAGTTTATTCGAAGTTATAGAAAGCAATAATAGTGATATAGTAACCGTTAAATATTGTTTCGAAGTTGTAGATCAAGATGTCAAACCACCACTTGGAGTTACACCATATTATCAAATAGGTTCAATAGTATGGATTGATTCAAATAACAATGATGAACTAAACCAACCACAAGATATCGGTAAATCTGATGTTGAATTAACATTAATAAACCAATCAAATGGTGAAACAAAATCAACTACAACTGATTCAAATGGTCGTTATGAAATTGATCACTTATTAGCTGGTAATTATTGTATTTCAGCCACCGCTCCAAATAAATTCAAATTTATTGTTCCATCAAAAGATTCTGTTGTTGATTCAGAAGGTAACTATTGTTTCGAACTTAAATCAGACAACCTTAATATCAATGCTGGTTTAATTCCACTTAACAGTGTTGGTGAAGTTGCATGGTTAGATAAGAATAATGATGGTGTAAGAGATTCCGATGAAATATTAGCCGATGTCAATCTAACTCTTACCGATAAAGATGAAAACATATTAAACACAACCACAACAGATTCAAATGGTAATTACAAATTCGAAGATTTACCACCAGGTTCATATTGTGTTGAAGCAGATACTCCATTAAGTACTGTTCCAGTTACTGGTAGTACTGATAATCTATTTGTCGATGGTAAATACTGTTTCGAGTTTACTGGACCAGAACCAATCGATAGAACTGATGTAAATCCAGGTTTTGTTGAAGTATTAGATATTGGCCAATACGTATGGGTAGATCAAAATAATAATGGTATAAAAGATGAAAACGAACCATTATTACCAAATGTTGAAGTTCATATATTCTCACCAAATGGTACATCAATTGCAAATCTTACAACCGATTCAGATGGACGTTACTCACTCAAAGATCAAGTTCCAGGTTCATATTGTGTACAAATGGTCATCCCACCACATTACAAACAAGTTGAAAAATCAATTGATTCTCCATTTGACGATAACGCCAAATATTGTTTCAATATGACTGATAAATCAGTATTAGATGCCAATTTAGGTTTAATTCCACTATATAATGTTGGTGATAAAGTATGGTTAGATCCATTCAATACAGGTAAACAACAACCAGATTCACCAGGTGTATCTGATATTCCATTAACATTAATCGATAAAGATGGTAACTCAATTACATCAACCAAATCAGATCAAAATGGAAATTATCAATTCCCTGATGTTGCACCAGGTCATTATTGTATTGTTGCAAATATCCCAGAATCATACAAACCAGTTAACAAATCAGATGATAGTCCATTCGATGTCACATCCGACTCATCAGTTCAATATTGTTTCGATTTATCAGAATCAATTGACAATGCTGATTTAGGTTTATCACCATATTATCAAATCGGTTCATTAGTATGGGTTGATTCAAATAACAATGATCAATTAAACCAACCACAAGATATCGGTAAAGCTGACGTAGATATAAAACTAACAAATCAAGCAAATGGTGAAGAAATAACTACTACAACTGATATCGATGGTAAATATTCAATTGATCACTTATTAGCTGGTAATTATTGTATTTCAGCCACCACTCCAAATAAATTCAAATTTATTATTCCATCAAAAGACTCTGTTGTCGATTCAGAAGGTAACTATTGTTTCGAACTCAAATCAGACAATCTCAATATCAATGCTGGTTTAATTCCACTTAACACTGTCGGTGAAGTTGCATGGTTAGATAAGAATAATGATGGTGTAAGAGATTCCGATGAAATATTAGCCGATGTCAAATTAACTCTTACTGATAAAGATGGAAATGTATTTAATACGACAACAACAGATTCAAATGGTAATTACAAATTCAAAGATTTACCACCAGGTTCATATTGTGTAGAAGCAGATACTCCATTAAGTACTGTTCCAGTTACTGGAAGCCCTGATAATCTATTTGTAGATGGTAAATACTGTTTCGATTTCGCTGGTTCAGAACCAATCGATATATTTGATGTAAATCCAGGTTTTGTTGAAGTATTAGACATCGGTCAATACGTATGGGTTGATCAAAATAATAATGATATTAAAGATGAAAACGAAATATTATTACCAAATGTTGAAATTCATATATTCTCACCAAACGGTACATCAATTGCAAATCTTACAACCGATTCAGATGGACGTTACTCACTCAAAGATCAAGTTCCAGGTTCATATTGTGTACAAATGGTTATCCCACCACATTACAAACAAGTTGAAAAATCAATTGATTCACCATTTGACGAAAACACCAAATATTGTTTCAATATGACTGATAAATCAGTATTAGATGCCAATTTAGGTTTAATTCCATTATACAACGTTGGAGATAAAGTATGGTTAGATCCATTCAATACAGGTAAACAACAACCAGATTCACCAGGTGTATCTGACATTCCATTAACATTACTCGATAAAGATGGTAATCCACTTGCATCAACCACAACAAGCTCTAATGGTAAATTTAATTTCCCAGATGTTGCACCAGGTAACTATTGTATTGAAGCACAAATTCCAAAAGACAAATATAAACCAGTCAACAAATCAGATGATAGTTTATTCGAAGTTATTGAAAACAACAATAATGATATAGTAACCGTTAAATATTGCTTCGAAGTTGTAGATCAAGATGTCAAACCACCACTTGGAGTTACACCATATTATCAAATTGGTTCACTTGCTTGGGTAGATTCAAACAATGATCAAATTTATGAAATATCAGATTCAATTAAACCAGGAGTACAAATAACATTAACAAATCAAGCAAATGGTGAAATAAAATCCTCTGTTACTGATATTGATGGTAAATATTCAATTGACCACTTATTAGCAGGTAACTATTGTATTTCAGCTACTCCACCAGATAAATTTATATTTGTAGATAATAGTGACGACTCTGTAGCCAACTCTACCGGTGATTATTGTTTCGAATTAACTCAATCTAATCCAAATATAAATTTTGGTTTAATTCCACTTAACAGTGTTGGTGAAGTTGCATGGTTAGATAAGAATAATGATGGTGTAAGAGATTCAGATGAAGTTTTATCTGATGTTTTAGTTAAACTTACTGATTCTGAAGGAAATGTTTTACAGACAATGAAAACAGATTCAAATGGTAATTATAAATTTGAAAATCTTATTCCAGGTTCATATTGTGTAGAAGCTGTTACTCCATTAGGTACAATCACAGTTACTGGTAGTAATGATTCACCATTTGTAGATGGTAAATACTGTTTCGATTTCATTGGTTCAGAACCAATCGATAGAATTGATGTAAATCCAGGTTTTGTTGAAGTATTAGATATTGGTCAATACGTATGGGTAGATCAAAATAATAATGGTATTAAAGATGAAAACGAACCATTATTACCAAATGTTGAAGTCCATATATTCTCACCAAATGGTACATCAATTGCAAATCTTACAACCGACTCAGACGGACGTTACTCACTCAAAGATCAAGTTCCAGGTTCATATTGTGTACAAATGGTCATCCCACCACATTACAAACAAGTTGAAAAATCAATTGATTCTCCATTTGACGATAACGCCAAATATTGTTTCAATATGACTGATAAATCAGTATTAGATGCCAATTTAGGTTTAATTCCATTGTACAATGTTGGAGATAAAGTATGGTTAGATCCATTCAATACAGGTAAACAACAACCAGATTCACCAGGTGTATCTGATATTCCATTAACATTAATCGATAAAGATGGTAACTCAGTTGCATCAACTAAATCAGATCAAAACGGAAATTATCAATTCCCAGATGTCGAGCCAGGTCATTATTGTATTGTTGCAAATATCCCAGAATCATACAAACCAGTTAACAAATCAGATGATAGTCCATTCGATGTCACATCCGACTCATCAGTTCAATATTGTTTCGATTTATCAGAATCAATTGACAATGCTGATTTAGGTTTATCACCATATTATCAAATCGGTTCATTAGTATGGGTTGATTCAAATAACAATGATCAATTAAACCAACCACAAGATATCGGTAAAGCTGACGTAGATATAAAACTAACAAATCAAGCAAATGGTGAAGAAATAACTACTACAACTGATATCGATGGTAAATATTCAATTGATCACTTATTAGCTGGTAATTATTGTATTTCAGCCACCACTCCAGATAAATTCAAATTTATTATTCCATCAAAAGACTCTGTTGTTGATTCAGAAGGTAACTATTGTTTCGAACTCAAATCAGACAATCTCAATATCAATGCTGGTTTAATTCCACTCAACAGTGTCGGTGAAGTTGCATGGTTAGATAAGAATAATGATGGTTATAATGATCAAGGTGAAGGACTAGCTAATGTAACTCTTACTCTTACCGATAAAGATGGAAACATATTAAACACCACCACATCAGATTCAAATGGTAATTATAAATTCGAAGATTTACCACCAGGTTCATATTGTGTTGAAGCAGATACTCCATTAAGTACTGTCCCAGTTACTGGAAGCCCTGATAATCTATTTGTAGATGGTAAATACTGTTTCGATTTCATTGGTTCAGAACCAATCGATAGAACTGATGTAAATCCAGGTTTTGTTGAAGTATTAGATATTGGCCAATACGTATGGATTGATCAAAATAACAATGGTATTAAAGATGAAAACGAAATATTATTACCAAATGTTGAAATTCATATATTCTCACCAAACGGTACATCAATTGCAAATCTTACAACCGACTCAGATGGACGTTACTCACTCAAAGATCAAGTTCCAGGTTCATATTGTGTACAAATGGTTATCCCACCACATTACAAACAAGTTGAAATATCAATTGATTCTCCATTTGACGATAACGCCAAATATTGTTTCAATATGACTGATAAATCAGTATTAGATGCCAATTTAGGTTTGATTCCATTATACAACGTTGGTGATAAAGTATGGTTAGATCCATTCAATACAGGTAAACAACAACCAGATTCACCAGGTGTATCTGACATTCCATTAACATTACTCGATAAAGATGGTAATCCACTTGCATCAACCACAACAAGCTCTGATGGTAAATTTAATTTCCCAGATGTTGCACCAGGTAACTATTGTATTGAAGCACAAATTCCAAAAGACAAATATAAACCAGTCAACAAATCAGATGATAGTTTATTCGAAGTTATTGAAAACAACAATAATGATATAGTAACCGTTAAATATTGCTTCGAAGTTGTAGATCAAGATGTCAAACCACCACTTGGAGTTACACCATATTATCAAATCGGTTCAATAGTATGGATTGATATAAATAACAATGATGAATTAAATCAACCACAAGATATCGGTAAATCTGATGTTAAAATAACAAATCAGCCACAAGATATTGGTCTATCTGATGTAGATATAAAACTAACAAATCAAGCTACTGGAGAAATAAAATCAGCTATAACCAATGAAGATGGCAAATATTTAATTGATCACTTATTAGCTGGTAATTATTGTATTTCATTCACTCGTCCAGAAAAATACAGATTTATTATTCCATCAAAAGACTCTGTTGTCGATTCAGAAGGTAACTATTGTTTCGAACTCAAATCAGACAATCTTAATATCAATGCTGGTTTAATTCCACTTCATAGTGTCGGTGTAGTTTCATGGTTAGATAAGAATAATGATGGTGTAAGAGATTCAGATGAAACATTAGCCGATGTCAAATTAACTCTTACCGATAAAGATGGAAACATATTAAACACCACCACATCAGACTCAAATGGTAATTACAAATTCAAAGATTTACCACCAGGTTCATATTGTGTAGAAGCTGTTACTCCATTAAGTACTGTTCCAGTTACTGGAAGCCCAGATAATCTATTTGTAGATGGTAAATATTGTTTCGAGTTTACTGGACCAGAACCAATCGATAGAACTGATGTAAATCCAGGTTTTGTTGAAGTATTAGACATCGGTCAATACGTATGGGTAGATCAAAATAATAATGATATTAAAGATGAAAACGAACCATTATTATCAGGTGTTGAAGTCCATATATTCTCACCAAACGGTACATCAATTGCAAATCTTACAACCGACTCAGATGGACGTTACTCACTCAAAGATCAAGTTCCAGGTTCATATTGTGTACAAATGGTTATCCCACCACATTACAAACAAGTTGAAAAATCAATTGATTCACCATTTGACGAAAACACCAAATATTGTTTCAATATGACTGATAAATCAGTATTAGATGCCAATTTAGGTTTAATTCCATTATACAACGTTGGAGATAAAGTATGGTTAGATCCATTCAATACAGGTAAACAACAACCAGATTCACCAGGTGTATCTGACATTCCATTAACATTAATCGATAAAGATGGTAATCCACTTGCATCAACCACAACAAGCTCTGATGGTAAATTTAATTTCCCAGATGTTGCACCAGGTAACTATTGTATTGAAGCACAAATTCCAAAAGACAAATATAAACCAGTCAACAAATCAGATGATAGTTTATTCGAAGTTATAGAAAGCAATAATAGTGATATAGTAACCGTTAAATATTGTTTCGAAGTTGTAGATCAAGATGTCAAACCACCACTTGGAGTTACACCATATTATCAAATCGGTTCATTAGTATGGATTGATTCAAATAACAATGATGAATTAAACCAACCACAAGATATCGGTAAATCTGATGTTGAATTAACATTAATAAACCAAGCAAATGGTGAAACAAAATCAACTACAACTGATTCAAATGGTCGTTATCAAATTGATCACTTATTAGCAGGTAATTATTGTATTTCAGCCACCGCTCCAAATAATTACAAATTTATAGTTACTTCTAAAGACTCTGTTGTAAATTCAGAAGGTAATATATGCTTCGAACTCAAATCAGACAATCTCAATATCAATGCTGGTTTAATTCCACTTAACAGTGTTGGTGAAGTTGCATGGTTAGATAAGAATAATGATGGTGTAAGAGATTCCGATGAAACATTAGCCGATGTCAAATTAACTCTTACCGATAAAGATGGAAATGTATTTAATACCACTACATCAGACTCAAATGGTTATTACAAATTCGAAGATTTACCACCAGGTTCATATTGTGTAGAAGCTGATACTCCATTAAGTACTGTTCCAGTTACAGGCAGTACTGACAATCTATTTGTAGATGGTAAATACTGTTTCGATTTCGCTGGTTCAGAACCAATCGATAGAACTGATGTAAATCCAGGTTTTGTTGAAGTATTAGATATTGGCCAATACGTATGGATTGATCAAAATAACAATGGTATTAAAAATGAAAACGAAATATTATTACCAAATGTTGAAGTTCATATTTTCTCACCAAACGGTACATCAATTGCAAATCTTACAACCGACTCAGATGGACGTTACTCACTCAAAGATCAAGTTCCAGGTTCATATTGTGTACAAATGGTTATCCCACCACATTACAAACAAGTTGAAAAATCAATTGACTCACCATTTGACGAAAACACCAAATATTGTTTCAATATGACTGATAAATCAGTATTAGATGCCAATTTAGGTTTGATTCCATTATACAACGTTGGTGATAAAGTATGGTTAGATCCATTCAATACAGGTAAACAACAACCAGATTCACCAGGTGTATCTGACATTCCATTAACATTAATCGATAAAGATGGTAATCCACTTGCATCAACCACAACAAGCTCTGATGGTAAATTTAATTTCCCAGATGTTGCACCAGGTAACTATTGTATTGAAGCACAAATTCCAAAAGACAAATATAAACCAGTCAACAAATCAGATGACAGTCTATTCGAAGTTATTGAAAACAACAATAGTGATACAGTAACCGTTAAATATTGTTTCGAAGTTGTAGATCAAGATGTCAAACCACCACTTGGAGTTACACCATATTATCAAATCGGTTCATTAGTATGGATTGATTCAAATAACAATGATGAATTAAACCAACCACAAGATATCGGTAAATCTGATGTTGAATTAACATTAATAAACCAAGCAAATGGTGAAACAAAATCAACTACTACTGATTCAAATGGTCGTTATCAAATTGATCACTTATTAGCAGGTAATTATTGTATTTCAGCCACCGCTCCAGATAAATACAAATTTATTATTCCATCAAAAGACTCTGTTGTCGATTCAGAAGGTAATATATGCTTCGAACTTAAATCAGACAACCTCAATATCAATGCTGGTTTAATTCCACTTAACAGTGTTGGTGAAGTTGCATGGTTAGATAAGAATAATGATGGTGTAAGAGATTCCGATGAAATATTAGCCGATGTCAAATTAACTCTTACCGATAAAGATGGAAATGTATTTAATACCACTACATCAGACTCAAATGGTTATTACAAATTCAAAGATTTACCACCAGGTTCATATTGTGTAGAAGCTGATACTCCATTAAGTACTGTTCCAGTTACTGGAAGCCCAGATAATCTATTTGTAGATGGTAATTACTGTTTCGATTTCATTGGTTCAGAACCAATCGATAGAACTGATGTAAATCCAGGTTTTGTTGAAGTATTAGACATCGGTCAATACGTATGGGTAGATCAAAATAATAATGATATTAAAGATGAAAACGAACCATTATTACCAAATGTTGAAGTCCATATATTCTCACCAAACGGTACATCAATTGCAAATCTTACAACCGACTCAGATGGACGTTACTCACTCAAAGATCAAGTTCCAGGTTCATATTGTGTACAAATGGTTATCCCACCACATTACAAACAAGTTGAAAAATCAATTGATTCTCCATTTGACGAAAACACCAAATATTGTTTCAATATGACTGATAAATCAGTATTAGATGCCAATTTAGGTTTAATTCCATTATACAACGTTGGAGATAAAGTATGGTTAGATCCATTCAATACAGGTAAACAACAACCAGATTCACCAGGTGTATCTGACATTCCATTAACATTAATCGATAAAGATGGTAATCCACTTGCATCAATCACAACAAGCTCTGATGGTAAATTTAATTTCCCAAATGTTGCACCAGGTAACTATTGTATTGAAGCACAAATTCCAAAAGACAAATATAAACCAGTCAACAAATCAGATGATAGTTTATTCGAAGTTATTGAAAACAATAATAATGATATAGTAAACGTTAAATACTGCTTCGAAGTTGTAGATCAAGATGTCAAACCACCACTTGGAGTTACACCATATTATCAAATCGGTTCATTAGTATGGATTGATTCAAATAACAATGATGAATTAAACCAACCACAAGATATCGGTAAATCTGATGTTGAAATAACATTAATAAACCAAGCAAATGGTGAAACAAAATCAACTACAACTGATTCAAATGGTCGTTATGAAATTGACCACTTATTAGCAGGCAACTATTGTATTTCAGCCACCACTCCAGATAAATTCAAATTTATTGTTCCATCAAAAGACTCTGTTGTTAATTCTACTGGTCAATCCTGTTTCGAACTTACCCAGTCTAATCCAAACATTAATGTTGGTTTAGAACCACTCAACAGTATTGGATCAATTTCGTGGTTAGATAAGAATAATGATGGTGTAAGAGATTCCAATGAAACATTAGCTAATGTCAAATTAACTCTTACTGATTCAAATGGACAAGTTTTAGAATCATTTGTTACCGATTCAAATGGTAATTACAAATTCAAAGATTTACCACCAGGTTCATATTGTGTAGAAGCTGATACTCCATTAAGCACTGTCCCAGTTACTGGTAGTACTGATAATCTATTTGTAGATAACAAATATTGTTTGGAATTCATTGGTACCCAACCAATCGATAGAACTGATGTAAATCCAGGTTTTGTTGAAGTATTAGATATTGGCCAATACGTATGGATTGATCAAAATAACAATGGTATTAAAGATGAAAACGAAATATTATTACCAAATGTTGAAGTCCATATTTTCTCACCAAACGGTACATCAATTGCAAATCTTACAACCGATTCAGATGGACGTTACTCACTCAAAGATCAAGTTCCAGGTTCATATTGTGTACAAATGGTCATTCCAGAACATTACAAACAAGTAGAAAAATCAATTGATTCTCCATTTGACGAAAATACCAAATATTGTTTCAACATTACTGACAAATCAGTATTAGATGCCAATTTAGGTTTAATTCCATTATATAATATTGGTAAAGATGCTTGGTTAGATAATTTGAATGACGGCAAACGTAGACCAGATTCACAACTAGTTGCCAATATTACATTCTCTTTATATGATAGTAATAATGAATTAATTGCAACCACATCAACTAATAACAATGGTACCTATGAATTTACCGATATACCACCAGGAGACTATTGCGTAAGAGCCAAAGTTCCATATTTATATAGACCTGATTACCCATCATTAGACTCACCATTTAGCCCATTAGAAGATATTGATTCAAATGATTTTATCGTCGAAAACTGCTTCGAAATAACAAATATGGATATCGTTAACTCCAATTTAGGTTTAGTCCCAATATTAAGTGTAGGTGGTACATCATGGATAGATTTAGATATTTCCAATTACCTTTCATCCTCAGATATTTTCATTTCCAATGTATCAGTTGTTTTAACAAATGCCGAAGGAAATACTATTTACAGTACCAATACAGATGATGATGGTGGTTACTATATTGGCGGTTTATTACCAGATAACTATTGTCTTCAATTTGGATCCCCAACTGGTTATCAGTACCTCAATGGATCTAAAGATTCACAAGCCAACTCTACAGGCCAATATTGTTTCACTCTATCAAAAGATAGCCATAATATAAATGTTGGTTACAAAGTATTATTCGGTGTTGGCCATGTCGCATGGTTAGATAAGAATAACGATGGTAAACGTCAAGACAACGAATACTTGATGGATGTAAAACTATCTTTAATAGATGGTGATGGCAAAGTAGTTGGAAGTACCACAACTGATATATTCGGTAACTACTTCTTCTATCCACTTGTTTTAGGACGTTATTGTGTTGTCGCAGAAACTCCATTAGGATCTGTTCCAGTAACTGGTAGTAAAGACTCACCATTTGTTGATGGTCAAGATTGCATTAGATTCTACGGTTCCAAACCATTTAATAATACAGATGTAAATCCAGGTTTTGTTAAAGTATTAGATATTGGTCAATATGTTTGGATTGATGAAAATAATGACAACAAATATGAAACATCCGAAAAACTTTTACCAGGAGTTAAAGTTAATTTATTCTCACCAAATGGTACATCAATTTCGGACACAGTTACTGATTCAAACGGTCGTTATTCATTCAAAGATCAAGTTCCAGGTGATTACTGTGTAAAAATGGTTATTCCACCACACTATATTCAAGTTCCAACTAGTGTTGACTCACCTTTCAACTCAAGCACTGTTTATTGTTTCAAGATTACTGATTCATCAGTACTCAATGTAAACTTAGGCTTAACCCCACTTCATAATGTAGGTAATACTGTATGGTTAGATTCAAACAACTCTGGAATTCGTCCATCCAATTCAATTGGTATTTCCAATGTATCCTTAACATTACTTGATAACACTGGTAAAACAATTGCAAACACTATAACCGATAACAATGGCCTCTATGAATTCAATGATATTAAACCAGCTTCCAACTATTGTATTATAGCAACATTTGATTCAAATATATATTCATCTTCAAAAACAACTGTTGATAGCCCATTCTCGTCAATAAACAAATCTTCTTCCAAATACTGTTTCAATGTAACAACAACTGATGTTAATAATGTTAATCTTGGTTTAACTCCATTCTATACTGTAGGTCAAAATGTTTGGATTGATTCAACCAACAATGGTATTAAAGATATAAATGACCCATTAAAACCAAATGTCACATTATCATTAGTTAACCAATTGGATAATTCTAAACAAACTTTACAAACAGATATAACTGGACATTACCAATTCGATCACCTATTAGCTTCAAATTATTGTATTTTAGCAACAATTCCTGATACATATAAAGCTGTTATAACCTCAATTGACTCTCCATTCTCAAATGTTGATTCTACCTCCTCAAAATATTGTTTCGAATTAACCTCAAATAAAGACAATGCCAATCTTGGTTTAGTACCATTATATAGTATTGGTAAATATATTTGGGTTGATCTAAACGGGGATGGCCATCCACAAGCAACTGAACAACCATTTGCAAATGTTTCAATTTCAATATCCTCACCAGCCAATAACATATCAAAGAGTACTGCTACAGATTCATCTGGTAACTACAAATTTGATAACTTAGTTGTTGGTAATTATTGTTTATCAATGATAGTTCCACAAAACTATATTGTCTCACCACAAACATTAGATTCAGTATTTGACAACAAAGGTGGAAAATGTTTCACAATTAAATATGGTGACAATCAAAATCAAGATATTTATAACTCCGGTTTAATTCCACCACTTATCTCAATTGGTGACTTTGCATTCAAGGACATTAATGGAAATGGCAACTATGATAAGGGTCAAGATACTCCATACTCAAATTTGACTGTTTTATTATACAATCAAAATGGATCATTAATCAATACTACTACCACCAACTCCAATGGTATCTACCACTTTGAAAAACTTTCCCAAGGTATCTATAGTGTAGAATTTAAATACTCTAAAGATTTGAAACCAAGTCAAATGGCAAGCGACTCGCATATAAACAGTATGGGTAAAATTAACTTCAGTCTAAGTATCAATAGTCCAGATGTTACTGTTGCAACTCCAACTGATAGTGTATCAACCTTTTACATTAATCGTAATATTGATGCTGGTTTCACTCGAGAATTATTAAGTGTTGGTTTTATTGTATTTAACGATTTGAACAAAAATGGTGAAATGGACCCAGAAGAAGATGGTATGGAAGGTATTACTGTTAATCTCTTTAAGCAATCTAACTTGAATCAATCAATCAGCACAACAAAAACAGACAACAATGGCACATATGCTTTTGTTCATTTACTTCCAGATAATTATTGTGTCAATATCATCAAACCAGTAGAGTACTATTACTCATTCTCAAATAGTACAACTTTCAATAGAGTAAATAATCAAACAGGTTTTATTTGTTTCAACTTAACCGTTTTCAGTGATAAAGTAGGTAAGTATTTAATCCCAGGACATACAGAAGATCAATATCAAGACGCAAGTGAAAACTTTGGCTTAACTCCATTTAGATATGGTGTAGGAACATATGTTTGGATCGATAATAATGGTAATGGTGGTGCAGAATCATACGAACCACCACAAACAAACTTTACTGTTTCCCTTTACGATAGAGATTTGAACTTTGTCAACTCAACTTTAACCAATCCAAGCGGTATTTACATGTTTGATAATTTAATAGCAGGTATTTACTACTTAAAGATTACACCACCATTAGGTTACACTATTTCAAACAACACTCTCTTAGATAACAAAGCCAACGCAACTGGTTGGGTTGTTATTGATTTAAGCCAAAATGACAAGAATCTTATGGTAGCCGAATCATCATGGGGAGTAAATGCCGATTTCATAGATATTTATCAAGATTTCGGTTTAGTACCACCTAAAGTTGCTATTGGTAGATACGTTTTCGTTGATATTAATAACAATGGTGTAAAAGATAATGACGAACCAGGTTTAGCCAATGTTACAGTTACATTCAATAGCAGATCCAAACTTACTGATGCCAAAGGTTTTTATATCTTTGATAATGTAGAATTTGGAAATAATTGCTTCACCTTTACTCCACCAGTAAATTCTTATAAACTAGGTATCCACGGTCAAGATAATTTCCTATATGGTAATTCAAGTATGTGTATCAACATTGAAATGACCCCAGACACTATTGTTACCACCAGTAATGATGGCTTTAGAGCTTTCTATAAAAACTTTACATTTAATGTCGGTTTTATTCCAAAATCTTTAATCATCGGTAAATATTAAATATCAATTTTTCTAAATCATTATTATTATTAACAATATAATTTTTAAATTTATAGGTGACACAATTTGGGTTGATGCAAATAATAATTCAATTTTAGATTCAGGAGAATTAGGTGCTGATAACATTACAGTTTCATTATTAAAATATATTGATAATAGTGTAGCATTAGATATAAATGGAAACCCAATTCCTAGTGTAATCACTGATAGTAATGGTAAATACATTTTCAGAAATGTATCTGATGGTCAATATATTGTTCAGGTAACAATTCCTCAAAATTCAAGCAAATATATATCTGGCACTACTTTTTCAGCAATTTTGACTGGTACACAATCTAAAGCCAACCAGAATGGTCAAATTCCAATAATGGGATCCGGTTTTATCCTTGTAGAAAACAACACTTGGGTCAATCTAGATAATGATGCAGGTCTTGTTATTCCATGTTATAGTATAGGTCAACAATCATGGTCTGATGGTAACCTCAACGGAATTTATGATATTAATGAAATTGGCTTCCCATATGTTAATATTACACTCTTCAAAGCAGATGGATCAATTCCAAATGATATCTTTGGAAAACCAATCCAAATGGTTACAACAGATGTCAATGGTAAATACTCAATAGGAAATGTTCCACCAGGTAGTTATTACCTCAATGCTGGTATCCCACCACGTTATATTATTTCAAATGTCACAACAGGTGGTGTCATTAATAATAGATTCTTCTCCTCCAATCACAGTACCTCTATTTTCAGTGTTCCATCTAGTGATGCAACTATCGTATCCACTACAGCACGTTGTAGACAAGCCTTTAATAAAGGAAACATTGGTATCAACACCCCATATGTAGCTCTTGGTATAAGAACATTCGTTGATAATAATAAGAATGGTATTTTTGATAACGATGAAAAACCATTGGCCAATGTAACAGTTTTATTATTGAACAATAACGGTCAACAAGTAATGGGAACCGATGGTCTACCATTAAAAGCAATATCAGATGCACAAGGTTTCTACTATATTGATAATGTACGTTTAGGTTATTATATTATTCAATTTGTTATTCCACCAGGATATTCAATTACCCCAACCAAACTAGTATCAACTAGTTCACAAATTGAAAATAATGCATTCTCAAATGGAAGAACCGATGCCTTCAACTTAATGATTACCTCCAACGATATTCGTTCAAGACTCCCAAATGAAACATTTACTGCACCATATATTGACCCAACTCATGATGCTGGTTTCGTTTTTACCACTATGGGTATTTATGGTAACATTTGGAATGATATTTTACAAGATGGCAAATTTGATAGCAACTCAATCCCAAGTGGTGTATTTACAGTATTACTTAAAGCAGCCAATAGTAGTTCAACTCTTATTGCCTCAACTCAATCAGCCACCAATGGTTCCTACTCATTACCAAATATTCAACTTGGAAACTATACTCTTTCACTAGCACCCCCAACTGGATCTGGTTGGTTAGCCACTAAACAAAATGCCACAAATTCAGTTACCGACTCATATTTGAACTCAGCATTCAATACCAGTGTATTTGTATTAAATCAAAACGATGACAACAACATTCTTTGTCCATTCTCTCAATATAAATGTAAATTGATTAATCTTGGTGTAATTAGACCAAGTATTAAATCAGTCAGTGGAAGGGTATTTAAAGATTACAATTGTAATGGTAAAATGGATACTACAGGACAATTTGGCACTGCTAAAGATACTCCATTAGCTAAGATTCCAGTTTACATTTACTATAGTGATAGTAAGACTCCATTTAACAGTACCGTCACAGATGCCAATGGTAACTACACATTCTACAACTTAGTTCAAGATGGTCAATACTTAATTACTGTAGGTACTCCAGCTCTCCCAACTGGTTCAGGTGATAAAGTTGAAGCTTGTAGACCAACAGGTGTTATTTTACCAGCATCTACTACAGTCCCAGCCGGTTTTGCTGATTTCTCATTCATTACAAATGAAGAAACCTGTCAAGATAATCCAAATCTCTCAACATCATGTTTCGTAATTGGTAATAGCGATAGCGAATTAGGTCCAAATTCTGGTGAACCAGTAATTGTTATGTTCCCATATAACGCATCACAGCACAACCAAATTACTCCACTATCATTCTATTCTGAATCAGGTACAACTTATGGTCAAACTTATGATCGTGTAAAGAAACAATTATACGCTTCCTCATTCACTAAATTTGGTACTGATTATGGTCCAGGTCGTTTGAATGCCATTTACAAGATTGATGTTGTTTCTGGTAGAAACTTCCTCTTCTCTAGATTAGATTCCTTCTTAGATAAAGATATTGAAGGTACCGATGATATTTATGGTATGGAAATTAACTTGGATACAGATTTCAGAATTTCAGAAATTTATCGTACAGCATTTGGTGGTTTAGATATTAATCCATATCAAAGAACTTTGGCAACCATTGGTCTCCAAACTAAAGAATTATTTATTATGCCTTTGGACACTCAACCTAATAAAACTAATACAGGTAGATATCCAGTTCCAGTCAGTTGTACAAGACCTCAAGATAAATACTTCTGGCAACCATTCGCAGTAACATATCATTTAGGAAAATTCTATACCGGTTCAGTTTGTGCTGGTCCAACCATTGCAGATTTAAATGCTTTTGTCCATACCTTTGATCCAATTACCTTACAATGGAACAAAGTAGTGCAAATGCCATTGAACTATAGTAGAGGCTGTAAGAACTTTGATTCAAATACAGTATGTCACAATAGTACATGGCAACCATGGATCGATATCGATGATAACCCACAACCAGTTGTAGCCTCGATTGCATTTGATAACAATGATATTATTTTAGCCATTAGAGATAGAGAAGGTGATCAAGGTAGTTTCGTTTCAGCCCCAGATATTTTACGTATTTGTTTAGTCAATGGTGTTTATGTTCCAGAGAGAGATGGTAAATGTGGTGATCGTATAGGTGCCCATTTAGGTCCATCAGGTTACAAAGGTCAAATTGAAGGTCCAGGTACTGGTGAATTCTATAATGATAACTTTAGAAAAGGTCAAATTGGACATGATGATACTGGTGGTTTAGCCGTTTATCAAGTTCCAGGTTTCCCAGAAATTGCCTCCTCATCATTCGACTCTACTGTTGTATTTGAAGGTGTAATTAAATATTACAATAACAACAATGGTAGCGTAAGATCATCATTCCAAGTTTATTTGACTGATAATTCTGATACAATTAACCCCGTTACATTTGGAAAAGTAAGTATAATTCAAAAAAAATATAAAATAACAAATTATATATTAATATTCAATTTTAACTATTTTTAGGCTTCAGGTTTAGGTGACTTAGTAGCACATTGTACTCCAAAACCATTAACATTAGGTACAACTGTATTTATTGATTATAATGGCAATGGTATCCAAGATCCATGGGAATCAGGAAAACCAAACGTAACCGTTTCTTTATTGGCACCCAATGGTACTGCTTTAATAAAGAGAGTTACTGATTCAAACGGACAATACACATTTATTAATCCACCATCCAATAATATGATATACAGTGTTGCTGTTGATACATCAGCATGTAATCCAACAATTGTTCCAAGTCCAATACCTGCCTCAGGAGTAATATATAATGCTGCCTCAATTGTAAGCACAAGGGCAGTAATTTCAAATATCAATATTGTTGATGCTATGATATCGTCAAATAGATACGATCTTAACTTTGGTTGTAAAGTTCAAACTTAAATAATATATATAACAAAAAAATATAAAAATATAAAAATAAAAAAATAAAATAATAAAAAAAAAAAAAAAAATAATAAATAATAAAATAAAATAATAAAATAATAAATATAAAATAATAAATAATTTTAAATAAAAATGTAAATTTTAAATTAAAAACATATATTTCTTGTTAACAATTGGTGTTTATATAAATTTATAAAAAAAAAAAAAAAAAAGTAATTTGGTTTTTTTGAAATTTATTTGTGGTATTTTTATTATTTATCTGTTTTAATCTTTTTTAACTTTATTATTATTATTATTGTGCTCTGATAATTGCTCTACATGTAATACAATATCTTTAACCTTATTAATAAAGTGAACCAAAAATTGGCTGCTATAATCGAGGAAAGGACCAGAAAGACCTAATTTATAAAGAACGACACCACCACAAGCAAGGAGTATAGTTAAAATGAATAAAAGTGGGCTTGAAAGAATAGCAATGAATTCATTGAAACCTAAAACGCATAAAAGAAGGATCATATATGCTGGGACACCACCACCGGTAGTTAAACGATTTTGTTCTGAGAGAGCTTGCATATAATCGGATTTAATATTTTGACGGAAATGTTCGCAAGTGTTGAGACAATCTTTGAATGGAATGATAATTTTATTGGCATTAACCATAGTATTTTCTTCGTATTCGTCAGCTTTTTCTGTTGATTTCTTAAAGAATGAAATATTTAAATCATCTTCATCTAAACGAAGATAGGAAAAAAGATCAATTAATTTTTCAGCATTTTGACGAGCTTCTTGGAATATGGCACCAATATCATCATGTTTGGTCCATTTTCTTGGGAGATTACGGCTATCCATATTGAATTTCTCTTCGAAACGTTTACGCATACGCATTTGGAGGAATTCTGCACGCTCTGTAATCTTTGTCTTTAAACCTTCTGATAATTGTTCTTTAAATTTATTGATAATCTCTAATGCTTTATCTTGATCTAAAGAGAAATCATTTAAACGATCTCTAAATTCTTTTTCGTTAGTTGATACTGCATCTTCGTAGAAACGTTTAATTTTGGACCACATATCGTTTGGTGCTTGTTCGGTAACTTTGGTGATATTTGGTGTGAGTTCTTGGAAGGTTTTATCTCTCATGAGTTTTGATAAACGATTTAATTGGGTTTCTTTAAGTGATTCTAATTCTTTATCAAGCTTTTGTTTTAACTCCTCTAATTGTTCACTAAAAGTCCAATCACTACCTTGAACAATAGATTGCTTGGCAACACCTTCAAAATATTCAACTGATTTCTTTTTGACACCCTCTGACCAAATTGAAAATTGTGGAATGATTCCAGCTGAAGCAGCAGTTAATGGTGATGAGCTGCCATCACGCTTAATATTTGATGATGATGCAGAACTATCTTTTGATGAAACACTAAACTCTTTGATTAATGATTTATAAAAATCCATTGCATTTTCAAATAATCTTTCCATTTGTTTATCGAAAAGATATTTTAACTCGGTAAACATACGATCGTATAATACTTGACGCTTCTTTACAACGGTTTCTTGATGGTAACGTGAGGCTGGTTCGTCATAGATTTCCAAAGCTTGATCAATGATACGTTTTGACTTTTCGCCAAAATTTTCTTGTATTCTGCCCTTCTCTATTGACTCTTTGGTGGTTCTTAGCTCTTTATTAAAGATACTCATTGATTTTTCTACAAATTCGTCACAACGGTATAATGCTAACATTTCTTTTTGTGATGGTAAATCTAAATCACGGTTACTTTTTATAGTTTCCCAAACTTGATAACTAAATTGATAAAAACCATCTGCTGGGATATCATCATTTCTATACTCTACTTTTGGAATAAAATTGCTGAGCTTTGGATCAACAAATCTGGTCTTTAATGCTTCGACTTGTTTCATAAATTGTTCATTTGAATAAATTTTGTGTGGTAATGAAGTAAAATCGAATTCAAAGAAATCGGTTTCTCTTTTACTTTTGAATTCATCTGGTTTTTGTAAATCACTCCATAATTTTGAAATATCCTCCAATAAAATACGTTTTAATTCATTTAGTGGGGTAACACCATCATGGTCCCTAATTATAAAAAATATTAAAATTTTGTGATTTCTAAATAAAATTAAAAAAAAAAAAAATTAATATCAATATAAATAATTTTTTTAAAAATTTTATAATGTTATATTATTACCTTTTATGTTGGAATAATTGCAAATTTAATTCAAAAACAGTTTTTAATAAAGAAATATTGGCGGCATTGTAACGACCAATATCATGAGCCCACATATTAATAATTAAAACTGATGAGAGAGCAAGAGAGAAAAGTGAGGTTTTTCTTTCGAATGCTTTTTCATCTTCACCTCTTTCACGACCATCTGTACCCTCGACATCTAAAATTAAATAAGTTTCTTTTGATGCTGATGATGGAGTAGCTACACCCATCCAAACACCTTGTGTTGTTTGTTTTCTACCTGTTAATCCATCCATAACTGCAAATTTGGTATTGAATAAATAATTCAATAATGTACTTTTACCGCTACTTTGTGGTCCAAGAATTGAAATTACTGAATAGTCAAATCCTTTATTTAGAAAATCTTCTCTATTTGAAATTGTTGCTAAAAATGTATTTTTACCATTATCTTTACTATAAATTAAAAGGAATAATTAGTTTTTAATAATATAGGGAGAGTAGTAGTAATAGTAATATAATAATTTTATATAGTTATATTATTATTATTATTATGATACCTACACAATATCACCATTGTGATCTATAAATTGAACAATGTCATTATAAGTTGGTTTTGATGGTTCAATTTCTTCATTAACTGTATCGTTGTTTTCATTATTATTACTAGTATGATTAGTGGCATTAGTAGTGGCCAATGTATTATTATCTTCACTTCTAGTTGAAATACTATTTTCATTTAGTTCTACATTTGTATTGCTTTCATTATTATTTATACTATTATTGCCATTTAACTCTTTTTCTGAACCATTATCAAATGATGCAATGGTTGATTCTTGTGAAAATTCTGATGTATTTTGTTCTTCCATCTTTTTTTTTTTTTTCTATCTAAATAGATTTTATAATTTATGTTTTTGTAAATACTATTATTTTCTAATTATTTTAATTATTGATTTTATTATTATTGATTTTATTATTATTATTATTATTATAAAAAGACTTTAATTGTATTTTTTTATTATATAAAAAAATAAATAAAATTTTTTATTATTTAGTTTTGTATATTAATTTTTTATGTAATAATATAAATAATTTTTTTTTTTGTTTTTAGATTATCTAAAAAATAGAAATATAAAATAATAAAAAAAAAATAAAAAAAATAACACTTTGTAAATGTAATAAATAAATAAAAATTAAAATTAAAAAAAAAAAAAAATTTCAAAAAAATTCAAAAAAATTATTTTTTTTTTTATTTTTTTTATTTATTTTTTTTAGTGCGAGCGATTCATAAGAGCAATGACTAATAATTGAATTTCAAAAAAAAAAAAAAAAAAGTTTCAAAAAAAAAAAGTCAAAATATTTTTTTATCTCTTTTTCTATCTTTTTTTTATTTATCTTTTTTTTTTTGTTATTTTTTTTTTTTTCAAATTTTTTAATATAATAAAAATAAAAACAAAAAATTAAAATTAAAATTAAAACAAAAATAAAAAATTTGTAATTACTTTTTAATATTAAAAAAAAAATAATAACAAAAGTCGAAATTCAATCAAATTCAAATAATATCCCAATTAGTTTTATTTGTTTTTTTTTTTTTTTTTTTTTTCTTTCTATTTTTTTTTATTTTTTAAAGACAAAAAATATTTTTTCAATTTTTTTATTTTTTAATTTTTTTTTCCAAAATCATTTCTATTAAATTTTTTTTTCACACCACAAATAATTTTTTTTAAAAAAATGCAAGAGGGATAATTTAAAATAGAACAAATCATTCTTATATTAAAGATATGATGTTTCTATTAATTTTTTGTTTTTATTTTTATTAATAATGAATAACAGAATAAAAAATTTTTAAAGCGGTTTATTTTATAAATTATAGAAAGAGTATAATAGTAGATAATGATAATAGTAGGGGTATATTTGTATATCAATTAATATTTTTAGTTTAGATCGTAAACATAAAAGGTAATAATGTAACCAAAGAAACAAAAGTATCAAAATCAAATGAAAATTCAAAACAGATTACAAAGTAAAAGAAATAAATAGTAATAATAATAATAATCAAATAAAAAAAACAACAGTGTTAAAAAGAAACCACACCATAATGGTAAAAGAAATAGAAAAAGAAAGAAACAAAGAATAAAAAAAGGACAAAAGTGATTTTATTATTAATTCATAATAGTAATGGTAATAGTGATGGTAATAGTAATAGTAATAGTAATAGTAATAGTAATAGTAATAGTAATAGTAATAGTAATAGTAATAGTAATAGTAATAGTAATAGTAATAGTAATAGTATTAATAATTTATTTTCGATTCATAATCTTTTATTTAAAATTTTGTTTAAATAATGTAGAACAGATCCTTTCGTGTAGTTTTTTAGTGTTCCATTTAAAACCATGAATATGGTAAATATAATTTAAAAATAAAAGGAATGATTTTTAGTAAAAAAAATATAACCAATTTTTAACCCTTGTGATATAACAACAATTCTAAAATCAATTCAAATTTATTATAATAATCATAAACATATATCACATTTATTAGAAAAAGACACACATATATTATTTTATATTTATCATCAAGTTTTGACACATTTTTAAAATTAAAAATTTTAATTAATTTTAATTTTTTTAAAAATAATATTTTTCAGTATAAATTAAAATTCATAAAATAATTTTAGAAAATAAGAAGTAATAGAGTTTAGTTATAGAGTTTACAAATAATAATAATAAGTAGTTTTTAGTTTTAATATAGATTGGTTAATTATATTTTTTAAAATATAATTTAAATATTTATTTTGGTTTTATTATATTTTATTTTATCTTTATTTTGTGTTTATTATTATAAAAATTAATACATATGTTCAAAACTTATGGGGGTCATATAATTCAGCTCTTCATCAGATTGCGCATGTGGTCTAGTGGTATGATGCATCCCTGCCACGGATGCGAACTGGGTTCGATTCCCAGCATGCGCAGAAATTTTTTATTTTGAAAATCTTTCTAGTGATTATAATTAAATTATTTTTAATTATTAAAATTATTAATTTGTAATGTATTCATATGCATTTTAGAATTAAATGAATATTACAGTTATAATTATATCTCAAACTAAATAATATATTTATATTTTCCTTTATTTTAAATAATTTATTATTTAAAATTAAAAATTAAAAATAAAATAAAAATAAAAAAATTGAAAAATTTAAAAAATAAAATTTTATTTTTTAGTTTTCAGTTTTCGGTTTTAGTTTTCACAAACAAAGAATTGTATATTTATTTGATTATTAGAATTATTTATATTTATTATTTATCTATAACTAAAGTAGCTCCATCTACATTACAAATTATTATAATTGTTTGATTAAATGACTATTTAAGTTATAATTAATTAATTAATTGAATTTTGATGATAATACATTACATACATTCTGTTAGACCTGCATTTTCAATTGTTGCCACCAAATGGTTGTTAATTCTTGATTCTTCTTTGTTTATATTGAAGTCACCCACCAGGATGTCTACGTCTATTAGATCATGATATTTGAGATTTCTTTTGATGTATAATCTTTTTTTTTGTCTCCTACCCTCTAATGATGCTGGTGCATAAACTGTTGCTATTTTTATTGTTGTTTGATTTATTTGTATTTGAGTGATGAGTAATCTTCCTTCTTTGCTTTTGATTAATTGTGTTTTTATTTGTTTGTTGCTGTTTATTTGTAATATACTTGAGCCCTTCCTTCAGCTGGTGCTGAATGGTAATTTCTATTTCCTAAGATATTCTTTTCTTTCTCTTTTCTAAATTTGTTTCTGTCATTGTGATAATATCTAGGTGGGTATTGTTTAGATTTAGCACTGAAATTGCAGTCTCGAATGATTTTTTTGTCGATATACCCTGTGCATTCTAGTGGATTAATGAGATTATTTTTGTTTGCTTTGGAGTTTTAGATTAAACTCCTTAACCTTTTCTTCAGTTGTGATGATTTTTTTTCTTTGGGGGCAGCAATGGTTTTGTGGTAATTTTGGTGGTGTTGGATTGTTGAAATTTATAACCTTTCCATTATTGGTTGGGATTATTCCAGTTGATTTTAATGTTGCTAACCTTTTTATTTTTGTTGGTGGTTTCTCCATTGATTTGTTATATTCATCATTAGATTTGTTTATGATTTCTTTAACTGGTGATTCTTCTTTTATGAGGTCTATTTGAGAATTTGCTGGTGTTTCTAATAGAATTATTTGTTGACTGAAGTTTTCGATGTCCTCCTTTTCAATCATTGGCTCTTCTATTTCCTCTATTTCCTCTATTTCGATTATTGGCTCTTCTACCTCCTCTACTTTCTCTATTTCCTCTACTTCCTCTACCTCTACTTCCTCTACTTCCTCGATAGGTTTTTGTTCTTGAGCCTCTGCTAATTCGTTTTTGTCTCCGATTGTTAGGTCAATTCTAGTGTTGGATGGTTCATCTTCCTGCTCGTCCATTTCTTTGAAGAAGTCATCCATTATAGTTTGTCGATGTGTTTTCTCTTCGGTTTTTTCTAAAGCTGTTGGGTCTTCTTTGTCAGGTTCTTGGTGAGTTTGAAGGTCCTGATGATTTTGAATAATTTGGTTAATTGGATTAATTGGATTAATTTGATTAGCTTGATTAGCTTGATTAGCTTGGTGTGGCGTACTGTCCTGAGGTTGGTTAGGTTTGGTACTTTTTGTATTTTTGTTCTCTGTGATTCTAAGTTCAAATTTTCCGTTTGAGGTTGTGTGTGGTGGGATCATACCATTTCTATCGAGAACTGTAAGATAGATATTTAAGTTTGAATGATCATATGCTAGGATTTCTATTCCCATTTCACTCATTTCTTTTTCGGTTCTTGCTCCCAGTCGAATAGATCATATTTGTTTCTATTTGCTCTTATTTGTATTTTTCTTGAGCCAATAACTATTCCTCCATTTTTGATTATTTTTCAAGTTACTTCAATTTTGTCTGTTAAGACAGTCATTCTTTTTTTGTTTTGTCTTTTGTCTGACATGTAATATTTTGAATCTGATTCTGAAATTAATTCTTTTAAGTTAATTTCAGTAAATTGAGGTGTAATGTAGATTTGGCATACATACTTTCATTGTTTTTTTTTTATATTTATGGTCTGCTAAATTTGCATTATTATCTAATTGCCTCTTGAATTCATCGTAAGATTTGCTGTTGATTGTGCTACTATTATTGAAATTTGTATGTTTATGTTATTATTTCTATTTTTTTTTAGATAGGATCCT